TCTGTTAGTCTGTTTGGCTTGAAATGTAAAATATGGTATTTTTGGGAAAAGCACAAATAGAAAAACAATATTGCTTAAGAATCCCACAGCGGCTGGTTATGTTAGCTTAGCACAAATACTGGAAACGGAGAAATATAGATTATAGATAGATATATAGATATCTATCTATATTATGTTAGCTTAGCACACTGTAAACGGAGGAATAGTTGGTCCGGTCGGTTTTAGACTTTGTTTTAAGTGCTGCTTCCAGTTTTTATGCTTAATGACCTTCACCATTTTCCATAAAAGACATGACATTAACATTGGATCATCTCATCTAAACATGTCACAAAACAAATGGTTAGTTTCCCAGAATGTCTGCTCAGTCATAGTCCTTAACTTGACCTTTGCTTTCCAAAATAAGGACATGGAGGAGCACTAAAAGTCCCCATAAAGCCCGGTCCAGCTCGGGTAATTGTAGCCTGAGGGTGGAGAGAGCCAGGTGTACAGCCTTGTGCTGAAGCCCCCCCGCCTGCTCCGCTGATCTACAACAATTGAACTATGTGCTCTAAACTCCCATGATCCTCTTCTTCTTTGGATATAGTGGTGGGTGGCTGAGCCAAATGTGGACACTTCCAACTTCAGTGACACATTGTCTTATTTTTAGAAAAGATGGTCGTGTGAGAAAGGGAGTGGTGGACGTACTAGACACATAAATAAACCGCCATTCAGCAAATCGGAATGATTTATACTTCATGTTCAATAAAGGCATCGCACAGCTTGACTCCATTAGTTCCACCAGAACGACATCTATCAGACGCTGAAGCTTTCTCAGACTTCAGCTACGAAGCCGCAGTGATGCCAGACGGGGCGCTGGAGTCACTTTGTCAGAATGTTTCATCTCTCTACCGCTCTTTCGCTTGTACTTTTCCCAACATTTGCCTCTACTTAATGGCTAGAATATCAAATCTCAGAAGAAAATCTGCAACGGCACATTTGCGAGTGACGCAGCTCGACGTAATGGTTAAAAAGATTTTGGTCAGAACGACTTCCAATGCATCAAGTGGTGTAAATAATAAAAAGCTGCACCCATTCCAGCTTTTGAATACGCGTGTGTGCCGTTTGATAATGTTAGTTAAGTCATTACAAACGAGAACAGTGGCAGGGCGCCAGTTCAAAGAGAATGCTCCCTTTTGGAGTTCTCCTGTGGCTTCAGACCGCAGGAATCCAGCGGTGGATTGGTGCTCCCGGGCCCTTTGAAACGGGATCCAAGGCCAGACCTTTGATAATGCCAATCACAGATCTCACATCATTTTCATAAGGACAGAGTCATATAGGCCAGACCCACAGCGGGAGTGAATTCGGGGAATGGGAGGGTAGGAAACATTGAGTGGGTGAGTGAATGAAAGGTTCCAATTTCATTTGGAATTTTAAGGATAAGTCTTAACAAAAACAAAAGAGGGTGGGAAAAAAAAGATGACTACGGTATAATTTTAAAAAGATATGACTTCTACGCTGTGAGGTCTAGGTAGATCTTTATCTCTGGCTGAACTAACGTTGTGCACAAGGAGGAACACAGTTCTTATTGTAAAGCAAACCAACCGCAGCGGCCATTGGAAGCAACGCAATTTCCCCTGTTAAACGCAGAAAGGGAAAATGCCATGCAGCTGTTTCCAGCCGCAAGAGCAAAGCTCGGGCTGTCTCTGAGGAGGCTGGACATGGGAGACGAGAAGCAGACGATGCCTTTAGCACATGCTGCCGGTTAGAATGGACCCGGGAATTTTATTAGCAGACCGCATGGAGGAGCTGAAGCTAAACCGAGGGGGTCTCGCCCCTCCTCTGCTCCCCTCCTCCGTCTACAGCGGAGCAGTCCTGTTAAAGTCATTAGCCTCTGGGATATTACTGCACCAGCAGCGATGACATCATTACGGGCTGCTGTCAGTCCGGCGGGACATCTGTGAGCTGCGTCTGAGAGGGGAGGGCAGACACGTCCGTTCACACAGCAAAGAAACCCTGTGGTCCAGAGAAGGGGGGTTTACCCGTTTCAAAATATCCATGACGCGTGTTATTTCTGAGGCCGGGACCAAATACTGAAGAAAGAAACCAGCCAAATTTAGAAAAAGTGAAGTAAAACCCCTCGCGGTATTTTCGAAGTATGTGATGCTCTACAAGTCCCTTCCAGACAACAGATTCAAGGCCTCGTCTTTCTTAGGAGCTCCAAGACAGAAGCGTTTGATGGGCCTTTATCTCCAAACAAGGGGCCAGCGGGGCGGAGAGAAGTCCATTGTCTGATAGGAACACTAAAATATACAAGCACGTCGTTCTTTCCCACAAAGTAAAGGAAATCCTATGGCGTCCTATGGCATCACTATGGCGTAGGGTGCGGTGGGAGAGGAAAGTTCTCTAGGAGACAACTAAAATGTTGAGTCTACTGCCTCTTGCAATGAAATCATATGCTCTGCATGACTGAACGTAATAACAGGGAGCGACGTTGTGTTGCAGGGCAGCTAAACAACGGAGGAAAAAAGGTTCCTGTCCCAAGACAAGATATATGTCGATTTTTTTTTTCCTTTGAGACGTGACGCTTACAAATTCTATGGAAAAACTGGATATAAAATGTCCCAAGCAATGAAGCAATGAAGCATCTACGCGAAAAAAGAGACACGACGTGGGCCGTCACCGCGGTGCCGGCGGCGTGGTACAGTGCATAATTGTGGTAATAGCTGATGTTTTGGCACAGCAGTCAACAAGCAGGCCGTGAATGGCTTCTTGCTGTGCGCGTCACTTCATCTGACAAGCAAATAATGGCGACAAATCAGAAACGTGGAGGATCCAGAATGAGAATCTGAGCGCTGCTGTGAAGACTCTTTGCTGCTTGAAGCTGTAATTAAGCTCTTAAAGAGACGAAAATTAGGGCCGGGTGTGTTTATGTTTAAATAAGTGCCCGTGAGAAACTTCCCTGCAACTGCAATCTGCTGATACTTTATGTAAATATGTATTTTACGCTTCTCTGACTCCGAAGTGTAGGATTACTCACTGCAGCAGACCAACAAGGAGGTTGGAGGGATGTTACTGAGCTCTCTGTTTTCTTTTTGGATGGAAAGTGTGGAAAGAGCACTCAAACATGCAACACAGGTTCTGTGAAAATATACCGAACGACTGTCACTCGAATAAAAGCAGCTGAACTAACTCTTTTGAAAGATATCCAACCACTAGGTCACAGTGAAAAGGTCAATGTGGCATCGTGATGCAAGTATCTTATGAAGTACATATTAAGCAGTCCTCCAGGTAGTGAGGGATTCCCATGCACCTGCCTGCGACCTTCAGGTGTGCAACTCATGTGTTTGGGATGGTTACCTTCAGGAAAAACCCACTTTGAGAAAAGAAAGTCATGTTTTGTAAAGTAAGTTCTAATATTCTGTATTCCTCTAGTGAGCCGTCACAATTGTCTCAGATCTGGAACCACCGTTACAGGACACTGTAATAAATCAGTAGTTGGATCCATTAATTGATGATAAAAGTATTTCATGGTTAATTAACTGTTGACTATTTGTTCTGGCTCCAGTAGTCACAGGTTGGATAGTTCCCACTTCAGCACCCCCACCCCCCTTCCTCCCCCAAATCTGAGTCATTCCAAATTCAAGTCATTCCAAATCCACATGTTTGTCCTTTTTTTATAAAAAAAAAAAAAAGCTACCAGAAGTGCGTGTTGACTGTGCGCGCATTAATACCAAGCGCTGAACTCCTGCCCGGTGCGCGCGGTGCGCGCGGTGTGAAGGGGGGGAGAGCCTCTCCTCGGCTGTGGGAGTTTGCTCAACCCACTGCAGCCAAACGCGCGAGTTGTGCGACTTTAGGGGAGACAAAAGAACCGCAGGGGCGGGGGCGGGGTATAGGGGTGTGGGGGTGTGTGGGGGGGCAGCACAGGTCGGTTAACAGTATATCAGACCCGCTTTATGGACGATGCAGAAATACACACATTCTAAAATGACACAAAACAAAGAGGGCGGAATAACTCGCGTGTTACATCAAACCATGTTCATTACGCTGCTGCTATCTTTCAATTGGAATCCTGTAAATGAGGCATTTGGGAGGCAAATGGAGTCAAAAATGAACCATGCTTTTAAAGTCGGTTGGCATCTCTGCGACGTTCGGAAGTGAGACGATCACAACTCACCAAAACAATGGCAAATTTCTCCTCCAGCTCGGTGGGGTCCGGCATGGGAACCTTCAGAGGCATGATGTGATGCTTCATGTCCGACTGGCCGTCCACACTTTCTATATTACCCATTTTCACCCGCCACCCCCCAGATGTGCTGTATCCTTAAATGTCGTCCAGTGGTAATAATCCAAGAAAGAACAAAAGAAAAAGTATTCCAAACCACGTCGTTGAGGGATTAATCCATAGAAGCAATCCTCCGAAACGAGGTAAAGCGCTGACAGTGCAGTAGTCTCGTATCACTGTTTCCAAATGCCATTTACACTAACGCGTCTTGGGTTACAGTGTTCTCCACAGAAGCGTCCCTTAAAAACAGAATACTTTCAAAAGTAACAATCAAAGTGCAGATGTTTTCTCCTCCAGAAGGTGGTCGCTAATTTGCCAGGCCAATCCATGACTTAAAACGGATATTCCCCTCGCGGTAGACAACTTTCAAATGCCGAGCAACAGTTACTTTAAGTTGGTGATCAACTTTCTTGGCTGGAACGCGTTTCCATTCATTATTGTTTCTGAGATCCAGATCAAACCCTTCGCCTCTTGCCTCCACTCAGAGGGCAGGTTGGCGTTCTAGTCCCGCCCCCGGCTGGCGAAGGCGGTGCTCCCCGTTGGTTAAAAGGCCTGTCAATCGCGGGATTGTCTGCTTGCCCGCCCCTCACATCTGCAAGCAGCGAGAACCACGTTGAACCGGGCGGAACGGCGAGTGTTTGTCGGCGCTTTGTCGCCACCTAGTGGCGGTATGAGGTTTCACATATAGAATATATATTTTTTAAATATTTAGTACACAAAAAGGAAGTCACAAACCTGATTTGATTCATTAGAGCGCAACTTTTAATCAACGACATGAGCAGATACATGATGATATGTTCAAATAATGTCAAAGCACAGCATTTTTCTTTTTCAGTCCTTTAACACTATTTTCTTTCCGTCCTCACCAATCAGTGTCCAGGCTTTTGTCCCACTGCTGGTGTATAATATTAGGTTTCTTCTCATAAAGTCATAACTGTTTTGCTTGAAGTCTAAACACGGCTGACTGCTTCAGCCTGTTGCATTAGCGCTACCAACACATCTACAAAGTTTCAGCTTTCATAAAAGCTCAGTGATTTAGACTCTGCTTATAATCTCATACCACCGTCTGCAGCGGTAATCATGAGTATCTGGGTTTGTAATACTTTGATTTATAAAAGCAACTTTAATAGAGCTCTGGGTAAAACATATAAAACTTCATTTGGAACATAATTCATAAACACTGACAAATTGTGGACAGTTTTGCAATACTTAAGGCAATAATATAAACGCATACAAACAAAATAATATCGGGAAATATTTGAAAGTTGTAAAAAATTAAATTCAAAGATATCTTTCTCAGTTTCTGTAAATCCATAAACATATCAAGATATTGACAACAGCATGAGCCCTTTTGTGAATAAAATTCAAAGAGGACTTAGACATGCTTTTCACCACATATAAACTTGGTAGGTTGTGCAACATAGTTGCATTATTATCAAATATCTATTCACCTAAAATATTCTACTGAAGAATCTGTCCAGGACAGCAGGAATTCACCACAGAACACTTTACGGATGACAAGCTACATGTAAAGTTTCCTAAATACTGATGAACTGTGTTTTTTTTGGAGCAGTTATGTCTTCATTATTTTCTTTACTGATGGGGGGAATGTCCATTTAAGCTGCTTCTACAAACACACCAATTACAGATCACAAAAGCAACACCTAACATGAAAGAGGACTTGAGACAAACCGCTGAGTCCTCTAGTTGGTCTCTGCAACCAAATCGTACCTGGAAAAAACAGAAATGACGACATTTGTTGTGTGAATAATCTTGAAGAAAGTAATTTGACATACAGATGTTGTAGAGTCTCGTTCATTAGATGTTTGAATAATTACCATTGTGTTATACCAGCCTTGAGGTCAATTTGGTCCAGGTCCAGCTGCAACTGAGGGCAAAGAGGAGAAGCATAAGAAGACGTCTCACTTTTACATACTACACATAATAATGTAACAGGGCATTTATGCGCGGATGATTAACTCAATTTCAGAAGACGATATGTACCTTTCCAATGAGTTCCCGCTCCCTGCTCATGAAGGAGACGCTGTTCTTCACGGACAGGTCCAGTCTTCTCTGTGTGGACTCCTCCAGAGAGAAGTCAAAGTCAAACCTACGGCAGGAGAGAGAAAGTCAACCAACCGCTTCCACTTCTTCCCCATCGCATGTGTTCACCTGGTTTACATCACCTCTCGTTGAATTCTGGGTTGAGGTCTCTCTTCTTGGTGGCGGTCCTCCTCTTGGTGGTGGCCTTCTTGTCGGGCAGCAGGATGAAGGAAACGTAGGGGTCTGCGCCGTCCTTGGAGCAGGCTGCGAGCGCTCTGTGGGCGAATAGCGAACACGTGTTGGTAACAGAGGGCTCCAGGTCAAGGAGGCCACAAGGAAGAAGTGACATGTGTCATGCAGAGACCTGCAGGAGTGAATGGTGATGAAAAGCCTGCTCTCCTCGACGGAGTAGCCGACAGTGAGCTTCACCTGGCCTGCTGAGTTGGTACTTTCAGCCCTGAAAACAGTGTAGAACATGTGATCGGTTATATAAGGATGTCTTTGAATATTTAAGGAACAAATAGAGATGAAATAAAAATAAAAAAAACTGCAATGTTCACAGCGGAGGCAGTGGACACAACGTAATATCGATGCTGGTACGTGCGACTCACATTGAGAACCTGTGTCTCAGGTCCAGATGGGAAGGCACCCACCGCGGAAGGCCTTCCTCTCCTCCGCCGTCATTACCTACATCCCCCGGAGCCCTGCGGCACAGCGCCAGCTGAGTGTCCAGCACCTGCCGGACAGACAGAGCGGAGCTCCGCGTCACATCGCCGCTGCGTAACAACGATTCTCCTCACGTCTGAACAAGACTCACTTCTACACCAACCAGGGCACCGCTCACCTTGTCGCATCCGGCAGTGCATTTGGTAATGGAGAGGGAATGAGGTTAGTACCTTGAGCGTGGCCCTCAGCAGTATCTGGCTTTCCGGCAGAGCTCCGTCCAGATTTATCCAGCGGTCGAGCACCAAGCCCGGCTCAAACAGCACCTCTCTGAGGGGGATCGTGAAGGACCCGAGCGCCTGACCCCAGCTGTGGGAGAGCTAGGTACAAACATACGCGAGCGCTTTTCAGACTGCCTGTTAGAACATTGGTATGGGAATATAATGTTGCATAGTTCAGACAAAAGATGAAAAATACGGCTGCTGTTTAAGACTCTCACCTTCACTGAGAGTGTTTCATCTCTGGGATCACGAACCAGGAAATGAAAGGCTTCGTCCCATCGAGGGGACGTGGAACGCTCACAGATCTGAGGAGAGAAGGCAGCGCATCATTTTCAAACTCCTTTCTCTTTGGCTTCGCAAGCTCGTGTCAGATGTCACGGTCCTACCTTGGTCCTGTGGGAAACGCCTTTGAGGGTAATCTCAGCCCCGACTTTCGGCTCCTTCCCATTCTTCTTCAACTAAACGCAATAATTGTAATCCAGAGCATTCAAAACACATTACACCATGACATGTCCAATGCATAAATAAGGACGCAGCATCATTGGGACACCACATTGTTTTATTCAAAACGTTTGCACTAAATCATCAATGGTACATCTGCATTCTTTAGGGCGAGGAAAAACACAGCCCCCGTAAAGAACAAATCGAGCCCCACGGACTCGTAGGCATGAGCTCACCGGCAGGCCGTGGGCGCGCTCCACGTACACAAACAGCAGAGCGGAGGACGGCACAAGCTTGTTGTGGTACGACTGCTGCGACTGGTACTGCAAGATCTGTAGGAAGTGAATAATGATGTCACACAGAGGCGTAATGAGTGCAATAGCCGAGTTGTGGTTAGTATTTCCTTAGTAACCGTACAGGCAACGATGTGAACATGAATCTATGTAAAGTGCCTACAAAGATAAGTCCACATCTGCCGCTGCTCAGCTTGGAAACGCCGGTAATATATATTTAAATAATGATTGCGCTTTGAGAAGATTTATTTTATATGATTAACCAAGACTATGTCTCTCATCTCTTACATTGCAGAGGTGTAATAAAGAGATAAAGGGACAGGGGTAACCAGAGCAACACACAACTCTTCTACAGCTTGCCTTAAAATAGAAATACATCTGAATATATGTTTAAAGTGAGGAAATCTTTACCTTATAATGCTCCTTCTTTCCACCCTCTACTCTCTGCATTTTTTTTTGTTCGGCAGTTTTTGCACAGTCCAGTTGTCTGGGTTTGCATTACATGATTATTATTTTTCCGGAGTACTATATTCAAGTACAATAAAAAGAGAATAGGATATAAAATGAAGAGAGCGAGGATGTTACCTGCTCCAGTCTTGGCAGGTCAGCGACTCTGGGCAGCCACTCCAGCTCCAGGTGAACTCGGCCTGACTTCACGTCATTTAGAGTGTACCACTGTAATGAATAGCAGCGCACAAAGGTCCAGGTAAGGCTATAAAAACAAATATAATTTTGTTGAATGATCTGTTCACTGCGCGTCACCCACCGTGTCGATGAATTGCGCGCTGATGATTTCTCGCAGGTTAAGCTTGAACCTGCAAAGACCGGACTCAATCAATACTTTCTCATGCTTTTTATTTGAATATTTTTTCTTCAGTCAAAAAGACGTGTAGACAAAACGCTGTGAAAGTTTCATTGGTAATGTCGGCGCGCACCTTCCGAGGAAGTCATCCTGATCGATGTCCTTGTCAAACAACTCAAACTGGATCTCCTGACCAGGAAGCTGGGTCAAAATCACCTAAGGCATAAAAAATGAATATAGCATCTACGCTGAGACCCACCTCGTTAATCAGATGAGCAGAGGAGCATTAAACCCAGGATGGTACCTCATAGAGTTCATTCCAGGTCGGATTGAGGTTCTCCTTGATGGTGTGGCTGCGGAAGGTGATGCCGGCTACACGGATCTTCACGTACGGGTCGCTCTTCCCCTTTACCATTCCACCCATGAAGTTGTCTTTCGCTATCAGGTTTTGGGCCTCCACCAGATGGATACGCAGCACTCCCTGTGAGCAGAAGAAGGGCAGGAAAAGCTCCTGTAGTGTGTGTGTGTGTCAGGTTGTGTTGTTCAGGTTGGTTGGTTTTTACCTCAGTTGCAAACTCTGCGTCGGGCGTGGTGTGCTGCGGTCTTGTTGATTGAGGTTTAGCTAAGCCGCCGGGCCCCATGGGGTTCATCTCGGATGTGATTCCCCCCTGACCCAGGCCAGGCCCAGGGGCCAAAGGCCTCGGGGAGGGAGTTGTAGGAGTGGCATCATCGTTTAGCCACAAAACCTTGCAGGAAACAAATAACAGATTGTGGTGAGCAACTTAAACACAGGTTTCTCTTTCTCTGTTGTTGTTCTCTGGTTTTAATTGATAATAGACACAGACAAAAAAAATTGTTTTTAAATTGGAGATGTCATTTTGAAGGGTTGTGGGTGTGATACTCGTGTTGGATGTTAGCCTCCTGAGATCAAAGTAGTCCTTTGGGAGATGGAGAGATTCCAACCAAACAATTGGTTGGGTTCTTTCCCAAACTGCATGAATCTTATCTTACCAACTATACCGACAAGTGTGAGTGTGCAGAAAAAGGCGCTTAAGTCTATGTGTGGAGAACCGACCCGAAGCACAATCTTGATGTAGATGCGGCTCGCGGAGCCAGAATTTTCCAGCTGGAACCACTGATCCATGGTGAGTTCAGGAGCGGCCAGGAGACGGCTCAGAGGGATGCTCAGACTGCCCAGGGACAGAGCTCGGTCATCATCTTTCACCTGATGGGAACCGAAGGAGCAGAAGATGAGAGCGGAGAAATTGGTACTTAAGTGTCCTGATTACCTGGACATTTTTGGAGTAATTGATGAAAAACCTTTCCAGCTAGCTTGATTAATGTGTTCAATGATCACTATACTACTTATCAATTAAATGACTTACTTGAATGTCAATGTCCTGTTTGGAGGGATCCTGTATGAAGAAGGTAAAGGCATCCTCCCACACGGGGCCGTTGGTTCCGTAGCACGTCTGCAGCAGAGAGCAGAAAGATGAACTACGCGTTCTCTTCACCGGGCTGAGAGGGTTCAAGTTGTATCCTCACCTTGCTCTCTTTGGTCGCATCCTGAATGGAAATCTGTACCATTGGGCTTGGGTCCTTGTTGCCTTTTCTCATCTACAACATATTACATACATCATCGTGGGCAACCGATGGGAATGCGCGACGTGAAAGGGTCCTGATGGAATAGTGATCATCTTACAGGCAATGCATGAGCTTGATCAAGATAGACGGCTAGGATGGCAGCAGATGGAGGGTCAGCTGTCTTCGTGGTCAAGTTCTGATTCTTCTGGATCACCTGGTAGAAGAACGTAAAGTGCATGTTAGGAAAATGATCATCGGAGACCCTGAAAGCCAAAAAACAATTTAACTATTTTCAATAACATGTTGAAGATCAAGACTTCACTATCGATAGATAGAAAAAAAGGAAAATCTTTTCCAGATATAACAAATTTGAAAAAATAAGTTAAAATGAACTTATTATAAGGTATTTTTTAGAGTTTGGGGGATTTTTTTACACATAATTATATGTTATGGTGCAGGTTGTGTGACTGGTGGATACGTTGCTTAAGATGATTACTACTTAACTGCAAACCTCTCAGTTTGGTTTGCTGGATAGCTTTGTAGTGACAGTCTCTTTCTCGTTTACCAAACTATGCTCACCAGTCAACTGCTGACAATTTTCAAATGACAAAGCTTGTTTACTTCTTTGTTTATGACATTACATGTCACCGACATTTTGACCAACGACTTGATTACTACATTAATTACTAACTCAGAATTCCACAGACGTTGGGACAATTCATTTGCAAATGGGTAAATGTGTTTGCTTTGTTTGTCAGCAAACTGTGATGGTGATGCAATAGTACAATGCCAAATTTTATATTACACCATTTTATGGTCTAAAAACACAGATTTCCTTTGTTGAAATCTACACACCTGCTAATGTTCAGCCCTTGACTTCATATTTTCTGGCCCACAATAAAAAGAGAATATACTGCACACGTCACCACCCAAAGGCCGGTCCCTCATTGAGAGCTGTGTGCACAGTGAGCTGTAGCCACAACTCACCTCGCTCAGTCTGTCAGCAGAGGACAGCAGAGAGAGCCACTCCAGCCGGAGGTGGACGCTGCCGGTTTGGACGTCCCTCAGATTGAACCACTATTTACAAATACAAGGGGCTCGTTAAACACGCATTCTTTCTCCTCTGGCGGATTTCTTTGAGCCTGGATGGCAGGATGGAAGATGGTGAGATCAGAGCAGATCACGAGGAGGCCCGTGGGGTCTGCAAAGGTCCAATGCAGGGTTTGAACGGTGTTTTCCAGAGTAAGACGTTTTAACAAATGCATTATTGTGCCAGCTGATTATTGTTGGACCTGAGGGAGACACATTTACTAAACGTATTGATGAAACATTGCATCGCATCTGACATTAGTGTTACTACTTACGTCATCCACAACTCTGGCCTTCTTTACGATGTCAAGATCCACCTTGACCCTGAGCGAAAGACAGATGGAGACAGATAGAGAGAGGATCAATGAAGGCATAAATCACAGAGACTAAATTGTTCAAATTTCCACAGAATCATGGCCCGACGCGGCGATAGCAGAGACGAGAATGACATGAGCAGCACGTAGAGACAGAGTAAATGAATGAGAATGGGTGAGCTACCTCCCCAGGAAGTCATCCTGGTCTGGGTCTTTGTCAAAAACTTCCACTTCCAACTCCTGACCAGGTACTTCATGGACAATCACCTGACACATACACACACGTAAATGGACAAATACACAATCCACACAACAAATATACAGATATAAATACAGCCACACACGGCACAATTACACGAGGACATGCACACAGAATCACAATGGCAAGAACCAGGTAGGTGAGATCGATCGTGGTATTCAGTGGCTAAAGTTTCATAAACAAAAAAGGGCCCACAATCATCCAGGTTTTGCAAGAACATCGTATCTCTGACGCAGAAGCTTCCGTCTGCCAGAGAAACAGATCAAATCTTGTTCACCATAACTTTATCACTGCCCGAAGCAAACCAAAAACCACAGACCATCGCAACACTATGGTCTGTGCTCTTGAATATAAAGAGCTCACATTTATTTTAGCTCAATTGTAAAGAAAGAGGGTGTCACTCTCACCTCATACATCTCCCTCCACTGTGGGTTCAGGTTGCTGTCCACGTGATGGGAGGTAAAAATCTGAGTCCCCACACGTAGAACAGCGTACGGGTCTGACTTTCCGTCGATCAAGCCCTTAATCACCGTGTCCTTGGCGGTCAGGTCCTCGGCCTCCAGCAGGTGGATACGCACGACTCCCTGGCATGTACGCAGACATGCAGGGAAACACACGCACAAAGACAGCGTTAGTCAAATAACACGGATGCATGGTCCATTTTCCTTCAAATTGTGAATAGGCTGTATAACCCTGTGACTTTCATGCGTTTGCTTGCAGCGGCTTCGGTCTGCGCCGGTCAATGTTTCTCCAGGTCATTCATGAGTGAGACAGTTACCCGTGGGAGAGGGGAGCGGAGCTGCGCAACGTGCAGGTCGGCCACCAGGGGAATAGTTAGGCGGTTGGGGAGCACCAGGTGGGAGGCTATTGCATCCATTATCATAGTGTCCGATATGGCACTGCAAATGAATGCAAGGACGATGTTGGGGGCACAGGGGAGGGACACACAGACAAACAGACAGTGACTATGTACTTCTGCTGACAATATGATCATGCATTAATAACAGGATATCCACGTTCTCGGCACAGTGCTCTGTGAAATCCTGTTGGTTAATGTTGTCTAATACTATTAGAAGATAATGACACGCTGTCATTGAAAGCATCATCAGAGAGAACTGATGGGTCAGCAAGAAATGTACACCTCTGATAATGCAAGTACATCATATAAGATCATAACACACAGTGTAGAATAAGCCACCAAACAAACACTGAATAAGAATGTACAATTCACTCATTTTTTATCAGACCATTGGATTATATTTGTGTAGCTGATTCTACATTGTGCGCTGACCTTACATAATGGGCCCCAATAACTACAGTACGTGAATGCATCGATCTGTAAGATACATACTGAACAATTGCTTGAACAAGAATATGGCATAAATTGAACAACGTTATAAGGCTGGCATGGATCAATATGTTTCTTATCATCAACAAGCACCATGAAAAGAACAAAAGCAATCTGTTTCCCAACTTCTCCACGATGTGTGTAGTTCTTAGTCCAGTTTATACTATGGACATTTATAGTAGGACATTTAAGTCACAAATATATGCTTTATTTTAAGAGGTCTAAGTAATTCTCTAAAACAGCTGTTTTTAGAAAACATGACTGACATGACTAAATATTGGATTTGTTATGGATTATATTTGGTCGCGGATTAAAACGTATTTGATGGTCCATTGAATTGAATTGAATTTGTATTTAAAGGTACTGTAGAAACAAGGAGGTGCAACATGCTCTGTGAAAAGGACCGGTTCCTATGTAGTTATGAAGGGCTCATTCACAGGTAATAAATACACAACAATTATTGTCTTTAGGGGATTATATACCAATTAAAACATACGTTGGCATATTTCTATATGCTATATTTCATTTTAGCCACTAATCCCCAAACGTCCTACGGACTAGACCATTAAGGCAGCAGATCGTGTGTGTGGGATTGACTAATAAAACACACTGCCCCGTTCATGAAGGAACATGTTACCCAGGGCAACAGCGTGACAGTTATGTGTTTTCAAAAATAGCTCAAAACTATTTGTGGCTCGCAAGATTAAACTATGTCAGGCCTTGGCTCCTAGGATCAATTATTTGTTGGTTTTAGTTCTTTCCCAGGATTTGTTGAGAAGTCAAAAACATTCTCAGCTCTACTCCACAAACAGTCACTCCTCTTTAAATAAAATACATTCAAAATAAACACCAGACAGCCACAACAGACCAATGCAGTCGCACCCTAAAAGACGTTTACACGAAGCTCTGTAGCATAAACTCACTTGAGGCCGGGGATGTCTAACAGGTTGGTCAGCCCGGTCCAGTTGATGTCCAGTTTCTATGACCCAGGTAAAAGTAAAGACGTATAAATACAGGAGTGTGGGAATCAGACGTGGTTCACTGGTGCCACACTCACAGGCCTGCGGATGAAGAACATTGTGATGGCTCCAACCAGCGGGACGTCTCCGATCAGAGGCTCGAGGATCACGCGCAGCTTCCCGTGCAGCTACATGGAGAAGATGTCATATTTACAGGGGGGTTTTCCAGGACGTGTCTATCGCTAATAATGTACGAATATCTTAGAATATTGCATTCCTGTACCTGGACTCCTTTCACTCCAGCTTTGCAAAAGTACTTCTTAATTTCTACGTTAACCTCAACATCACCGGCGTAGCTGCATGTAGAAGAGCACAGATGTTTACAAGTATGAAGATACACTTTTACTTACGGGAAGCAGCTGATATGACCTATGTTGTTTTAAGTAAACAACGATCTGCTGTAAGAGACCAGTACCAGCCCTTCCCCCTTAGGACACTTCACACTTACTCAGGTGCTGAGACACAAGCAGAAACAGAAGCTGTGATGCATTACCTCAGGTACAGATCCAACATAACTTGTCTCTTATCATTTTCCGTGTGAGCCTTTACTCCAACCACCTTCAAAGCCTGTGAACACAACAGCTGGCATCACAAACTAACAGCAAACAGGACTGATGCAGACTCAACTAGCAGAGATACACATGCAGACGAGCATTTCCTGTGATGAAATATAAATGAATAAGCTAGTAACACTCACCCCGCATGGCCAGATTTACATTTTACCCACATTAACATTCTGTGTTCAACTGTGTCGGCAGTAAAACATGCATCACTTTTTATGACAGCCCATTCAGATACCTTGTCTCCTATGTTGACCTTGGTGAAGCTGAGAGTCTGCAGATGAATGCTGGACATACGGATGGCAGGAGCGATGGTTTCCACCAGTAATTTCTCCAGATACTGGCCTATAAAGGGCCAAGCCTGCTGCAGGATCTACGTGACAGAACATTTATTATTGTGCTTGTTTTGGCAGCCATTTTCCAGCCTTTTGTATGTTGTATTGTTAAAGGTTTTTGTATTTGTTTCCGTCATTGCAAAAATCTATTTGGTTTTTCCCGTTAAAAGATAGACCTTGGAACTACGAGCCTCGTCTTTCGATAGCAGACCAGCGAGAGTGAAGCTTTCAGAAGAGCGTGTTGGATTTTGACATGGGAGTCTACACGAGTCAGAACCCTTCACATCCTGCGAGAAGTGTCGAAGAAGGTCTTTGACGAGGCTGGCATTAAAGTTTTGTCGTATAGGATTTATAGAATAGTATAAAGTAAGGGTAAATACAGGTAATCAAATGTGCATGCATTGTGATAACAATTTATAATTTTGTATAAATACTTGCAATGTGTTATCGTGTAAATAAGAAACTATTTATCACGGGGGAAATGACAAAGTACCATGGCCCACAACAAGCCACAGACGTTTGACTGGTAGATTAAATACGTTACAGACAAACAAACGGAAATCATCTGACAGAGGACGAAGCTGAAATAATTAAAGCAAATGCCCAGCAGTTAATTTGGATAAGACTGTACTGAAGTCCATCATTTGGTAATTTCCAGAAAAACGTTCCCTTTATGGAATAGCGAGTGATGAATTGACTCAGTGTACCCGTGTTATTACCCTGTAACATCTCAGAATGAGGTGTAAGTGCTTGGCGCAAAGCCCTGTCAGCTGCTGTTTACTAATCTTCTATCCTCCAAAACTCCCCGTGGAACTGGTGATGCTAACAGGCCGCGGCTACAGGAGAGCATCCTTTATTATTTATGATGCAGTTATTGATGTTGATGTTGATTAGGAGTAATGCATTTTATTAAAGAGCAATTCACAGGCCTCTTTTTTCCAATTTCTACAAGTTGTAACATATGATAAAAAGTGGTAAGATTTTGATATGTATTTGTTGATGGGTGCAAGTCAGGAGGGTGAGTGTGAGCAGCTGGATCACATGTGCAAAGCCACGAGGAACGACGCGGGTTGTTCTTCTGTCACTGTGCTTATTGCACTGCTGAAGGGCGGTTTGAATGATTAGTATTCACATCCACACGTTGCCCTGTGCTGATGTGAGGTTACTGTGCTGACAGAGACAAAGAGTTCTATGAAATGATCTGAGCCACTCTCTGTGACTCTTAATTATAGCGGAAGATGATCTGCTCATGGAGAGGCTGCAAACCGCAGACGGGTCACTTAAAAATCCTCACAAGCGTCTTTATCACCATAGAACATGTGAGGCGTTGCACCCCCACTGAGGGTGTTGCTCAAGTGAAACCCCTGATGGGGAAGAGTTCCGCTGAATGAAGCACAGAAGGCGTCATACACGCATGTTGAAACTGTTGACTCTTGATGATAATAATAGCCTAATGTCTAAAATACACAGCATATTGCTAAATGTGATGTAAAACATACCTTATTAAGCCACTCCACTTTTTCCACATCTGGAAAGTCAACCTGTTGACAAGTAGTGTTGGTCAGACATAAACTCAAATACAACATGGCGGGGTATAATTACCTCCAGCTCTGAGGACGTTAGATGTGTTGGTTTCACAAATCAGTATTTATTGTATTTTATTAAACAGCTCCCCAGCTGACTGACTCTAGTTTATATCTTCAAGCACAGAGAGAACACGGGAAGTCACAACTTACAAAGATTAGACGTCATGCACATCGACATTTCCTTCAAACCACGCAGATGGTGATCTCGAGATTAGACCCCAGAGAGAGAGAGAAGAGAGAGAGAGAGAGAGAAAGGGGGGGGGGGAGAGAGAGAGGGCAATTATTCTCTTCTGCTCTCTATCCAGATATGGTGGTCCATGGTCACTGCCTCTGCCCTCAAGTATGTTCATGAGTCATCAGGTCTTTTGAGCCAGATAAGGTCAATACCAAATACACTGTAGTGAAGCAGGAAGAGGAAACACACACAGAATCTCCTGTTGATTTATATTTTAACCAGTATACACGCTGGCCCCTGTCTGCAAGCCCTTTAGTCGATGCTGGTGTGGTTCTTTCCACCTTCGCACCAGAAGTCCACATCTGACATTTAAATCCACATTCCTGGGAGGCAGCTTGTCAGACTAATTCCCCGGGCACTGCACATAAGAAATGTCTAAATATGGAGCCAGGTGGAAAACGCGTGTGGGTTGTAAGGAAGCACGATGCATAAGTGAGTCTGAAGCTTCTGAATAAACAGTAAGCACGAGGACCATAAACGCCAGAGTCCATCACAGTGATTCCAAGTAGCTGAGATGCAACTCAAATGAGTCCGTCCCATGTGGCAGGTGATGAAAACAGCAGAGAATGAGCATGGCAGGCGGCGAGGCAGTGCTTACCCAGGGAGGTAGATCCCGTTTGGTTCTGAAAGCCTGCTGGGTGGTGAAGGCTTTCTCGTTCTCCTGAAGGAACATGGACAACTTCAGCCTCGTCACTTTCTCCAGGCGGCTGTGTTTCCATCCCATGTAAATCATCAGCCCGAAGAGGACTACACTGATGCTGAAGCCATAATACCCGGCCAGGTACACGGGTAGAAGAGCAGCCAGGCATTTTGCAAAGGACCACAGGACACTCAGTGCGCGTTCCCCCGGGGTCTGGATCGGTAAGGCCGGGGCCGCGATCCCCGCGCCCGGCTCCGCAGTCGCGGGTCGCATCGCAAGATCAGTTCGACTTCCCTGACTCGACTCTGGTCCTCCGGCTTCAATGCTGTTTTCACGACTGAGTGGCGAGCACCGCGGAAGACTTATTGTCGTTTGGACGGGGAACCCATCGAGGAATCGACGACACGCTGCGCGCTTCGGTCGATTTAAGTCATGAGCGCAGCTTCTGTGCGCTGCGCCGCCTCTCGGTTCCGCAGGCTGCGCTAAACCGACTGCTCCGAAATTGATCTACATGTGAAAGCATCCGCACACATCGCAGGGCAAGAAACCGCGGGAGGGGGGCAGGGGGTGGTGGGTGGGCGGGCACTGGTTTAAAGCCCGTCCCTCACTCGAAATCAGTAGAAACCTAAACCCTGGAAATAACTCGGAGCGTCATGCGGCCGCTCGGGCGGGCGGAACCGTGTCAGGAGGAAGGGTTAGATGTTTATTTACACGTGGGCACATCACAAGGGCGAGTTTTATTCCACATGACAATACCGTCAGCAAAATACTGCTAAAAACGCACGGGGTTCTCGACCCGTTATCTGTTCTTCTTTTCTTTTTTTTTTACATAACAGGATCAAGACTCGCTGCGCGCGCAAGCGCTCCTCTCCGCATGCTGCGGCTTTTCCAGGCGAGCGTGACGGCGCAGACGGGTTTGGTTGACAGAAAAGGTGTAACGTTAAGGCCCGTGAGCCGTGATGCTGTTATCCGGTCGCACAGATCAGCTCCCGTTCTGAACACGTACTGCAGGAGAGAATGCACGCGGCAGAGATGTGGCACCACCAGGATGTGCGCCAAATGTCAGCAACGCAAGGTGTTACGCGCATGCATTAAGTGCAATTATCTACGTTCATTTTTAGTTGAGTTTGGGTGGTGGTTTCCCCCGTTTCTCCCCCGAGGGCTCGTTAATACTTGGCAACAAAAACAGAACAGCCCCGTTGCCTGGATACGGCCAATTACATCCGTTTGCACAGCGGGTGACAAGGTTTGCTCATCCTTTATGTAAACAGATGAATGAAGACATTCATGCAGTCAGTGAAGCTACAGTAACAATGTTACATATTTGCTCATTTCAGCATATGGCCAAAAGGGAGGTGCAATGCAATGATTACAAATGTTACACAAAGGTATTTTAAAGAAGTCCGTTGAGTTCAACATTTCACATATTGTGTCACATGCCTGTTGTAATATTGATGTTTCTGTCCTAGAAAGGTGTCATGTCTGTCCTGGTCAACAAATATGCCGACGAGCGCACATATAATGTTACCATCACGTGTGCACCAACAAGGCGGACAATAATGTATAACTGATTTTAATAAACAACCTCATCATTGCATCTCATGAATGAAACTACTGTTTTTTGGTTCTGTTTTGTTCTCCAGAAGTAGAAGTAGAAGTCACAGGATGTTATTTGTGATGTTGAAATGATCACTGACAAGTCATTTTTTTACAAGTCAAAGTTGAACCTTCTGTCAGTCAGGAGTTGTTTGGCTTTGTAATCGGATGATTTGTGGTCAAAAATGCAAATATAGTTGTCACATTTACTGCACATACAAACTTGCAAATGTGTGTGTGTGAGTGTGTATTGTACAGTATTTACTTCTTACTCTTGTAAAAAGTAAGTAATGTTCCTGATAAGTACATGTGACACACGTCAGTATTCAGTTAGACAAAACTGACATATTGGTATAAGTACAGCAAGCAACATTAAAAAAGAAAAGCAAAATACAAGATTTGTATAAATCTTGAGGGTTCACTGCCTTGGTGAGGAACGTAATCCAAACGTTTTGACTATTAGGATGGGATTTACATGACAAAAAGCTTTTTTGAAGCAAGAATGAAATGTTTTTGCATACATGCAATTGAGACCACCGTATTGAAGCGGTTTCAATTGTAGTTGACTTTTTTTCAAACGCAATAGTTAGGAGTCAAAAAAGTGGGAATTGGAGAGTTAATGGGTGTAAATGTGGGTCGTGTAGCATGCTGAGATTCTCCGTATACAATTGAAACCTTCGAAAGTGAAATGCCACTTAAGAGTTACCATCTTTTCAGTGTGGCGAGTTCCCTCTAAATTCCATATTTTCTTAAGCATCTTTAAGTTTACCTGTAACAAGCGGTGCACGCTGCCAGCATATGCTCCACTCAATACCGCCAGAACTTCAAATTACAGTTTATCCAGGGAAAACGGTCAACGAATACTTAATTTTACATTATGGTACAAGTGCATAAGTTTAGGATTGGAATATTCATTGCTGGTAAATTTATCCCTGACTGTGGAAGGGGTCATTAAAGCCAGTAACCGTATAAGCAAGTTGCACAGCAAAACCATAATAAGAGATGCTAAGGGGCAAGTAGTAAAAGTTATGGCCCTGTTGCACTAATGTTTATGCCATGAGCATGAATGGGCCTGCATGCACATCGGAAACTTTAAAGTCAAGAGACATAGACTGAGGCTTGAATCAAAGCTTTGACAATTAAAAGACCATGTAATACAATTCCACGCTACGGTTGCATGGAAAGCCACAAACTATTTAAAAAGAAAACAAGTTTTGCAAAGCCATTTAGAAACCAAAAACTTTAATGACAGTTAAGAAAAGCTGAGGAATTAAAGAGTCCAGAATGTCCGAGGAAAAGCCTGTCGTCCAGCAGGTCTTGGATCAGCCGCTGCCTCACATTGAGATGGGGACCAGTGACAGACTTTACACCGGGAGGGTCCTGGATCGGGAGCCGGGCTCCCCGGTCTGGTTGTAGGGCAACGTGTACCGTCACAGCCATGGCGGAGAGGACAGCTTACTTGGACCTCTGCCTCATCTTTCGCCTTTTACGCTTCAGCCTGTAACAAGACGAGAGGCAAATCAGAAAAAAATCTCAAAACGGTCAAAAAAAAAAAAAAAGCATTAGAAACACGAGGCATGTATTTCTTACCTGCGCATGCGCTTTTTCCTCCACTGCAAGATAGATGTACAACGTTAGGTTATGGTTTTACTTTTACGGTTTTCCTTTATCAACTCCTGCATATTTTAAGCTCGCATGAAGATAATGTAAACATCGATAAATAGCATTCTAACAAGCTAAACCGAACGCTAATGCACCACGTGCTTTCTGGGCCCGTCATCTGCTAACCAGCTAGCTAACTTAGCTAGCAAGCAAATGTTAGCGTCACCATGAACAACGATCATTATTTGATCATAGCGATGTAAAACACAAACCTTGGCTCTCATGTCGAGAACAGGAGGCTGAAAACAGAAGAGAAAATGTTACGGATTAGATCGATGGACTTTAAAAGAGGATGATTAACTTGGATTCTAACAAAGATTGTTGTTCCTTACCGACAGTCAAAGAATCGTCTCAGTGAAGTACGTCATAAGCTGGCGACGACGGTTTTATAAGGACTGGCTACGTCACATTCATTGGACAGCAGTAAAATGTGGGAAATTGAGTATTACTAGAATGTAATGTTTATAATGCGCCGTTATATATTAGTTATACGGTACTTTGTATTACACATGGAGCAGTTTTCTAATTTTAAAGAATTTCAAGCATTAATTAAGTTATTAATTATGTTGGTGACAATGTTTGATTGATAGACATAAACAAAGCTAAAGAAAGAGTAAGGACAGTTGTATTCGGCTCATTATTTCTTGTTTTAACAATATTTCTTGGCAAACAATCTTTTATCGTTAGAGAGCCTGTTTATTTCTCTTTTAATTAGTGCAATATTTGTAAGGAACATGCAATTGTGGGATGAGCAGCAGAGCAGAGTATGTGGGTTGCGCCAAAGAAATATTTGCCAAATCTTCTCCGCCAATGCCATAAAGCCTCTTTTTCTGTTTACTAATTGTTGTTTTTTGGTAGACTGGATGGCTGAATTGCATTTTAACAATGTATTTGTTTAACAAACAGGAGCCTCTGTAGTGTGTGGCAGAACCATACACAGCCACAAAGTCACCAGCTTGGTCACATACTGCTGAGGGACCAACAAGTCTTCCATGGGGTTGAGGTCAGGATTTCTTTCAGGCCTCTATATCCTCTGCACTCCAAAACTTCAGATAAAGACTCAGATAAACCTTTCTGTGTGGGCAAGCGTTGTCATCTTGGATTACAGAGATATGGGATTGCTACTGGCTGCAAAATCTCACCTCAATATCTTTCTGCAGTCAGATTGCTGATGATTCAGTTTTTCAAAAAAAATGTCTTTTGTAACGCTGTAGTGGAAATGTTGGGGGTATTATCACAAGGTCCTTACATAGCTTGCAAATTATACATTAGTTCATTTTTAAAGAATTTGTACGTCAAATAAAAATCAAAAGGATGCAGTTTTACTTGACCGGGTCATTCATACTCTTCAAAGTATGAAACACACAAAATCACCACAATAACCAACTTGATACACAGTTTAAAAACAACCACACAAATGATGTCAGGTGGCTTTTTAATGTTTCCAAAAATAGTCTCTGAAACTGGGATTTGTTTTACAAAAGCATCCATATATCTAACAGGTATGGAATTCTTATGTAAACACAGACTGTCCGACTTGATGGTGGCACCAGAAGACTGAATGCGGAACCCCTGGCAGGAGGAATGCCATCCACGATGGAGAAATACGTACTTGCTATTTAAATGACTTTACTTGGTCTTCAATTGTAAGTTTTAGAAATTGTTAGCCAAGTAACCTACAGTAGCTTCCTGGAAGTGTACTCAACGTACTGGCAGACTGACCTGACCCAGAGCGGTGTAAATGTGGCAACTAGTAATAGTAATAATGACCATTGGCATGCTTTTAACTTCAGGGTTCAAGACATGTGTTGCACACTTCTGGCGAAGACTAGGTACAATGTTTCCAAAGGCATGGCTTCAGATTTATTATCTCAATGCCACACAATTACGCTGACAGTATTGTGCAGTCATCACCCTTTGCCGCTCAGTCAAACTCATTTTATTTTCCACATCTTTCAGGGACGAAGGCTCAAGGTCAAACAAATGGTTTATAATTTCCTCTTTTGTAGCAGAATTGTTGTCCACTGAAGAAGAGGACGGTCTCAAGTTTATGAGATTTACTAGAAATGTACTTGTATTTTAGGTGGAGTGACAAAATTTAGGAGCAGCATCATCCCAAAATGACATCAGTTAGATTCAGAGGTATTCACAGCGGCTACGCCCGCATGCGCCTCGGACAGCTGGGACAGAAGGATTCATGGCGTCTGTTCTTTGGGTCGTCAGATGTCTGCCCGACAAATTTATTCTGCATCTTCAGTCTCCATTGCCTGTCCGGTTGCACTCTCAACAGTCTTTGAGGCCTTTAAAAACATAAATGATTGAAATTAGAGGAATTCTTTTTTTTTTTAACGACAATGTAAGTTCATTAAAACAGGTCCTAACAACTCACCTTCTTTTTCTTCTTCTTCTGGGTCTTACGACTGGCAGAGCTTTCAAGCAAAGCCTTTCAATGACAGAAAATGGACAAAAATTACTTTCACATCATCAAAATGGCTTTGGAACAACCTAAACAGAATGCTATAGTGACTAAAACGCTCTTTTCAAGTAGCGACTCCAATATCCCTTCCATCGAACACATTTTACCTTCAGCTCTGGGTCCTCCACCTCATGCTCAGACTTGTAGAGCTCTGGCTCAAACAGACTGTTTGTGATTCGCAGTGGTCCGTTGGGCATGAGCAGCACGGTGAACTTAAACTGGGCAACAACTTCACCTGGAGAAAGATGGTTAAAGTTGCATTAAACAGTTCCGCTGGATATGATGCGCAAATGTTTCAGCAAAAAACAAAGATCTGACCCTGTAATGTTATAAATTAACTGATTAACGTACACGGATTAAATTGTATTATTATTCAGACTTCCCTTTGAATGAACCATGGATTCAGTTTTCCACATATGCGTTTCTCTTTAAGAAGCTCTATATAGAACTGCACAGATTAATGTATTCACTAGATTTCCTCAGGACAAATACAAGAGGGGAGAATTTGTAGGAGAGATTAGAAATTGTGATAGCCAGTGAATAATGACCATCATCTGTCAAGTATTTGGGCTTAGTTTTGTCCCTTTTCTGTATCAGTTAACCTAAATAAACAACGTGTTATTACAATAAATAAATCCAAACTACTGGAATGCCAATAATGCAGGAAATGAGTAAAGCGATGGCAGAAAGATGAGTCAGTTTTAAGTCAAACATATGACGTTTAAAACAAACCTACACTATGTGTCCTGGTCAATAAAGCAGTCAACTACATCCCCCCTTGTTCCACTCACCCTCTTTCTCCTGCAGCACGTTGAACGGCTGCAGCAGTTCGTGTTTAGCACACTCAACCACACCTAACCTGGCCTTGCCTTCGTCCTCAAACGCCCTGAGGACACAAACAGAAGTGACAAATGAGATGGTGAAACCTGGGAAATTATTTGATTCAAGATTTTTTTTTTTTTTAAGTAAAATATTTGATCTGAAGTTTAAAGATGCTACCTCAGAGTGAAAGGCATGGCATCAAAGCGCCTCTCCATCTCACTAAAGAATGTGCGAGATGTCTTCATCTTCAAGCCGTACACCTTGTTGGGGTCTCGTTTGTAAACGGTGGTCCTCTGACCGCCGTCCTTTGCCTACATTGACAAACCTTGTTAGAAATATGTGGAATACATTTTAAGCAGAACACAACACATTTTAACCAAAGTTCCTCTCACCTTGCCCTCTCCAGTGCTGATAAGCACATCCACTGCATACACTTCATGGACCTCGAACTCGGCCTTCTCATGGTCCTTTCTACAAATACAAAAGTGATGAGCTCTCCCACAGGTCAAAACGCTCATCGGGTCAGTGACAGGAAGCACTTGATGACTCAACTCACTTTTGCTGGTCCGTCGGGTTTTGGATGATAGTTTTCTCCCCATCGATCACATGTTGTTTGAGCTGATGGGAGAGCATGCCTGCACACACGGGAGGGATAAACAGAGTCAGTGCATGTTAGAAATATGAAACATTGTGACCCTCAATCTTGCAGGTGCCGATTGATCACAAACACCCACCTTCAATAGGGGAGCACTTGAACGACTTTGCAATCTTGTTCCAGGCTTCTGTGACCTGTTTATTCTGATGCGAGAGATAGTTGTGTTTATTAGACGAGTTGTGAGGCCGGAGAGGACGTTGCTCACTTCAGTGGTCACGGTGGGAAACTTTTACCTGATTTCCTGGCTTAACGAGACGCAGAGCCGCCTCAGCACAGAGGTGAGCTGCTTTGATAACGTCAGCCTTCCGTCCAGTCAGTGGGTTGTCCTGAAGAGAAACCGCGGGACAGATGAAGCGTTACAAATCCTCAACTACCAAAATATTCGTAGCTGTGGTATGACTGCCGGTAATCAAGTCAATTATTATACACGTCACGAGTCTTGTGAATAAACCCACGAGAGCTACGGCGCAGGTTTAATTCAACCGTGATGACATACCGTGGTCACTCCAACAACGGAGCTGTGAGCCACGTTTGAGATGAAGCCATCAACGTGCACGCCCAGATCACTGTGAACAAATAGAACAGGAAAACGTGAACTAAAGACAGAGTAAATAACAGCAAATAAAATAGCAACTAATTGGATCTATACGTCTACTATTTTACGTCTACTGCATTCAGTAGCTTACATTTTTACAAGGTCTCCATCCTTCAGCGTGATGTCGGGATCACTCTTCAGAGGGGAGTGATGGCATACACAGTTGTTAACGGACACACAAGTAGGAAAAGCAATACCTGTGAAAGAAAGATGCAATAAAAGGGTCAGAGGCGGCGATGATGACGACAATAATATATAACGAAATGCAACACAAGACGTACCTTTCTTCATTTCTTTTTCCTTCTTGAAGATTTTCCCGGTTTCGGCAATGATGAAGGCATCTCCCTTTTCACACAGGCTGAGCACGGAGACTCCAGCCATAGCTGCTCCAACCACGGTCTTCAGAGCCTCTGCAAGACAGGAAATGGAATGAGCCACGCGGTCCTTGAAAGGACGCGTCAATGACAGCGTTCATAGTGCTGGTCTGCGACTAACAATTGTTTTCCCTTTCAAGGCCTGTGTTGATTATTAACTTGGTCGGTCAATTTATCGTTCTTTAAATAAAATGTCAAAAGATAGTGGAAACCGTACTTTATAAAAGGAAAAGTTAAGGGCGAGAGTATTGAGGGCGCATTAGTGTGAACAACTTGTTTATTTGTGACGACGCTGATGCTACATGAAGTACAAGATAAACATTTGACATGTTCCCTGACAGCTGTGTCAGCTGGAAAGAAGCTTGTGGAGTACATTATCAGATATCGGTGCATTTCAGATCGACTGTAGTAGAACATGGAGTTTGACGGTGGGAATGCATGTTAAAAATGTACTTTGTGTGGCAGGAAAGTCAACAGTACAACTAACACAGAAACAGATGAAATGCGGCTGTACATAAAGACTATTGTTGAACTGACTCAACAGCTGTGAGTGTAACCTGAGTGGGAAGGTGTGCACTCTTGAATAAGCGTTTGTCCTTCGACTAATTGCGTTAAAATGATGAACTTTTTGTTTGGAATGAAGCTTGTTTTTAAATTGGTTAGATTTGCATAAAAAATAACGCACCAATGATGTGGCCTTGAAAATAATGTAACGTTATTGAATATAGTAACCGCGTATTCAAGTTTACGATTTCATGTTTGCCACTTAAACAGTGAGTGAATGTCCCAGTCTTTAAAGTGAAATATATAAATTAAGTTTTACATCGTTACTGGGTTTTTAACTCGTTTTATTGGGTGACTCCAGTAAATTCAACGTAAATATACTTTAAGATAACATTTAAATCCACCAGACCTTCAGTATGTTACATAACAATTGAAGTGGTCTCGATGTGATGAACTGTTAGTTGTATTTATTGAAATATGAACTATTCTACTACGTAGGCCTCTTCGGAACAACTCCGTATCGCCATGCAGCTTCGTACTTGTCATTGTTATCCGTTACGTTAGCAGTTGCAGCTAGCTAATGCTAGCTAGTGAGGTAGCTAGCCCTGCCACTGCTCAGCTAGCTAGCTCGCCGGAGCAATGTGACAGCAACGTGTCGCCAGACGAATGGGAGCGATTACTTTATAGAAAATCTCCGCCTAAATACATAGCGAGCGTTACGTTTACAGAGTGCCGCTCTCTGACGTGATCTACCGTAAACGTTGCTGCGGCACATGGCACAGCTGCCGCTGCCGCTGCCTGGGTATGACTAGCTAGCTGACAGCGTTAGCTAACCCCAGACGGATCCTGACGCTTACGGGTCGTTGAGTAAAACGCTACGCGCACGCTGCATTTCACTTACGATTTGCAATCTCGGCCCCCATCTTGTACTTGGTGACGACCAAGTCGTCGGCGATGGTGAGCTCCGGTGTTTCGTCATCTCCAGACATGTTGGCAGTGTGTCTGCGAACTCAAGAGTAACTTTTTCCCCAGCGTGTGTCAGTCAATCAGAGGATGGACCACGCTGCTCTCTGCAACGGCCCGCCCGACGTCAGTGAGCAGGCTAGTACTATCTCCAAATCCCGCCTGCTGCCAAAGAGTCGCTGCGCCATCAAGATGGTTCCCGGCCTAGTCTTGGTGAATCGCACATTACATCCGAAGAAGGCAGGGTTGATATTTTTAATCATATACAACTTAGGCTATATATATATATATATATGTATATATATATATATATATATATATATATATATATATATATATAGAGGAACAATTTATATGTAGGCCTGCTTAGACAAACATAATTGTAAGTTAAAAAAGGAAGATATTAAGTGTGTGTGTGTCATAAATGCTGACAAATGACAATATGGGAACGATTTGAAAGTGATAGAGAAACAAACAACCTATTCATAGAGTTCCCATTACCGTTCTTTGATTATTCATGTCAGGACATTTATAAAGGCCTTTTCAAATCTTTTAATTAAAACAGTACGTTTTGGTAAAGGTATTAGCCCATGCCGAAACTGAAAAGGAAACTTAAAATAAATCTGTCACTTCTCTGGTAGTCTTTGATCGGCCTCTGTCCAAATCACGCGAGTGCGACGCCGATTCATCTTTTCTTACGGTTTGTATGGTTTCTATGCCTCCATCTCATTTCCGGCTATTCATACCATACAGTCCATGGTTCTCTTTTACCAATAGGTGATGTGGAAATAAAATATACAATATATATACAACCCTGATACAAAAACAATCAATGACACAGGTGATTTGATATTTGAAAAATATTGGAATTTTATTCATTCGTATCATAATTTTACATAAAAATTGTACAAAAATACCGTTCTACTTCAATGGAACATGATCCCCTCATTTTGCTATTTCTTTTATCTTTCAAAGTTTGTTGGTGCAGCTCAAAGAAGAAAAGCTGGAAAACTTTACAAAATGACAGGTACAAACATAACTGTTGCTGTCTCTCCGTCCCAATCCACATTATTAGGTGCTAACAGCATCTGGCTTGAGGAACAGTCTGCTGTGCCAGTAGTCTGGGTTGTCAAATGATGTGTTGCTGCCAGGCTCCCCCACGCCAGCGAACACCTTGATGTATCCCCCAATGCCCTCACACCTGTCACTACCCATCTCCTCAGAAACAGCTTCCCCCTTCAGTGGGAGGTTCTGGTAGTCCGCCTGCTCCCACCCACTGGGAACCACTCCAAATCTGGTCATCTCCTCATACTCCTCCACCATTTCACCCTCTGCTGTGAGCACATCTGGCCCAGGCATGACCGCACCGCTCACATTGCCCTGAAGTGCAGGTAGTTTGTTTGTCTTGTGGTATTTCTCCCCTTCCTCCTCAAGCTCTTTCTTCAACAAAACCACTATTTGGTCCGCTGTCTTTGCTGCACTCTTTGAAGATGTTTGCCGCCCACACCTCTCCAGGGCCGGAGACTCTCCCTCCGTAGAGTTTGATCGTCTGATATCCATGTATTCATACCTGCCTATCCCTTGAGCTGCCCCTCCTTGGTCATCCGAAGCTCTCATCCCACAAACAGAGAATACAGCGAGCGGATGTTTCTCTGTGGAGTTCCTTTGCTCTGCAACACCTCCTTCACAATCCTCATCTTCTTGCTCAATCCTTTGAGCTGAGATTTGTGTCGGAGGTTCCACATCCGTAGTTTCCTCTCCGGGTAAAGAAGCCTGCGTTGGTGAAGGTAATGGCGAGATTTCGAAGCCAACTGCCACTGAGGCGGCGTCTGCCTGTGATAAGACGCTACTTGTCGAGCAAAGGGGAGCACCAGACTCTTTGCTCATGATTTCATACTCCTGGGAGGGGTATATAACCACAATAGACAGATTATTCTTGAGTCTTGAGTTTCTTTGTCCGGAATGAGAGATGCTGCAGACTGTGTGCCAAGAAGGAATTTATAGGAGAAAGGAGATCACATGGTTATATATTGTTAACTAAATCATTTACTCAACGGTCAGTGTAAATTATGCGATAAATCTGCATGTGGCCATCGGAGTGCTGGTTGTTTACCTCTCTGTGGAGTAAGATTTGGCCCAGCCAGGACGTAGCCATAGTGGTCCACCTCCTCTTCTTCCTCGGCAGCCCACACTTTATACGAGGATGGACTTGATGCTGATGAGAGCTTCCTGTGCCGGCCAATGGACACACAAGTTTCCCTCTCGGAGCCAAACCTGGCCCTGTGAAGACTCCCGGTCCGTGAACCCTCCTCATGCCGCTCCGCCTCTCTGCCACTGCGGCTGAACTCCGACTTCTCGGGCAGCGTGCGCACCGAGCTCAGTCGAGACCTCTGAAGCCACAGCTGACACAGATAAAGAGAGACTTGAGTTGATGCAGCAGCTCATAGAGATTAATTATATATTTCTATTACACCTTTTCATGTGTCTCACTGGGTTGTGATGACCCACTGATGGGCCACCATACTTCATTATAATACAGCTACGGGAAAGGTTTGTTAATACTGGAAATTAAAGAGAAGCTGTTCAGACTTTCCGCCAATAATATACAATATCACCTGTGCAATCGTAGGAATGCGTTGGTGTGCATGCAATTGTGTGTCTGTATCACCTGGCGGATGCTGTCCACGGGGCTGGGGTTCATTGGCAGATATCCAATAGGTCCAATATGAGAGGTACCACTCTACAAATCAGGGATGATGAAGTGTTTTGTTTGCCTTGCCTCTGATCGAGCCACAACGGTCCAACAAGAGTCTATATTTCATTACCCTGTACGAATTAATCCGCGACCGAGACAGACTCCAAGATGGGGAGTGTTGGAGAGGAGGAGTTGTCAAACCATCCTCCAGGCCTTCCTCGTGTTGGTCTTCCAAATCCGCTTGCAGAAGCCCTCGCTCTGATTCCCTCCGATGGAGCTCCACTGAGGCAGCTTCTCCTCCTTCCAACTACAACAATACAAAGAAGCATTCAGGGTTTGACGCCAAAGTCAACAGCCAGTGGGCTCTAGTCTAAATGAAGATAACAGCCTCACCTTGATGACAAGATATCTGGGCGGGTCTCTTGCCATGCGAGTAAAGTCGCTGGCCAGCTCCTTGAAGGTCGGCCTTATATTTTCATCGATCATCCAGCCTGGAGAGAAGAAGTGAAAAATGCCGGCTACAATCTCTGTGTTTGCGCAGGTTGAACAGGTTGCCACGTTTCATCGTACTCACACTTAACCATGACCATGTAGACGTCTATGGTACAGATGTGGGGCTGTGACAGGCGTTCGCCCTTCTCCAGCAGACTCGGCACCTCCTGAGGCTGCACGGATGCATAAGGCTCCGCCCCGAATGACATCATCTCCCACACTGTCACCCCTGTCCGGAAAGAGAGACGGCAGTTTTTAATTATTTAACGCCAGCTTTCTAGAGGAAGGTAAATGTCATTAGTGCTGCTGTATATTACCATAACTCCAAACGTCACTTTGATGAGTGTATCTTCGAAACAAGATGCTCTCCAGGGCCATCCATTTTAACGGAGTCTGGATCGAGTGCCAAATCACGTAAGTGACATACAGACATCTTTTTTCATAACTTGAGGTAATGACGGAAAACTCCTCTCAACTGTGACGTATTAAATGAGCGAAAAGAACCTTGGTGTCAGTGTAGATGTATTTCTTGTCGTCGGGATAGAGGAGGTCTGCTACACCGTAGTCAGAAATCTGGACCTGGTAGTCGTTCTTAAGCAGGATGTTGCGAGCGGCCAGGTTCCTGTGGACCATGCGGTGCTCCTCCAGGTAGTACATACCCTGAGACAGAAGACATGCATACTCTACATACCCTATATGACACATGTATGTATTCAAAACACTCAAAATAAATCTGTAGCTCACACCGCACTTACTTTAGCAATCTGCACACACCAGTTGAGCAGGCGCTGGGGGTCCATGCTGTTCTTGTGATGCCTGATGTGCTCCAGTAGAGAGCCCTGAGAACTGAGCTGGGTCACCAGTTGCAGACTGAGACCTGGACAAATGCCCAGCAGCCGAACAATGTAGGGATGGTCCAAGCTGCCCATGGACAGCATATGCTACACGGAGGCAGAAAAGCACTGTTTACTTTTCTGACTGTGTATGTGACATTTTTGTATGACACGGTATACATATGTGACTTTAATCGCTAATGCTTTAATGCAGTAACTTCTTTCAGGAGTGTAGAAGCTCTGATTCTCACATCGGTGATCTCGGTGAAGGTCTGTCGGCCCGAGCTATCTTGAATGGTTTTAATGGACACAGGGATCTTCACGGTCTCTCCCTCCGGAGTCCAAACACCCTTGAAAACAATTAAATGCACAGCAGCATCTGCATCAGTTCACACAAATCTGTTAAAATTGTTTATGACTCTGCTAAAGTTATAATGCCACATTACTCAATTGATTATTACAAGCCAAAGGTTAATAAATAATAAATAAATACCTTGTGCACTGTACCAAAAACCCCAAAGCCAAGGGATTTTATTTTCTTCAGGTCTGCAGGCCTGAGGATGCGGGCATGAACCTTGGTGCCTTTCTCTCCGGGACCAAGTGGCTCAAAGCTCTGTCAAATAAGTCACATATGATTTTTTCCCCTTTCTATCAACAACGCGTGTCACAGTCAAAGCAAGTGCTCATCTGGTGGTCTCTAAAGTCTCACCTCTCCGCTCTCCAGGTACCTCCTCATGGCTCTCTTGCGGCGGATAGCCAATCCTCTGTGGTAAAGCACGCCCAGGAAGAACAACACCAGGCATAACACCAAGCCAGCCGGCAAACCCAAGGCTATGCCTGTGATCTGACCACTGCAGAGGGAAGCAGAGAGAGACGCGAATGTGGAGATTCTAGGTGAAGGCGTGAGATTTGATAATATTCTATTTAGTAATAGAAAGAAGCATTGGACTGCAGAGATTAAGTTCATCACTCTGCTCTGTTGGGAAAATGGAAGACGGGACACGAACAAGCTTAATATGATCTGAATTATGTTTCCATCTGTAGCTCCAATTTAGGAATCTTTATGGATGTTTGAATAAATTTATTGACCCAACAGAAAATGCGAGGTTTTGTAAAAAAGAATTGATCAAATTGCAACTCTAGCCCAGCATGTCAGTATTGATCCGTTGATCGATCAGACACATTGCAATGTAGTGTTTTATAGTCACCAGTAGGGGGAGACACTCACCTGCTTACTGCCAGTCTAGTTGCCTCCAAACAATCATTTAGTCCTGGGCCTGAACATCTGTAGGGGATAAACACATCATTGATCTGATAATTGTTACACAACATATGAACACAAACATGTACACAAACATTATTTGGGTCCAGTCTCACCCTTGGGTGCAGTTATGGTGACATGGTTCACAGTGACCTTGCCTGTTGGGGTATTTGAAAATCAGTCCTGTCTGTCCATCGTTTACCCCAGTGGGACAAGAGGACATACAGAAGGGACCATCTTGAAGGTTGGCGCATGCCAGACACTTGTCTGCACCCTAACACAGAAATGTACGGAGGAAGACACAGATGGGAGGAGCTGAGACACAGATCGTGACTATATGTGTAACACTGTGGGGAGGCATTGAAACCCGCAATTAAACAAGACACTGAATATTTTAAATATAATGGAATGGAAGTGGCAGAGAGTCAACACAAAATGTTTTTTGTTAGGGAGACACGTCCATTCCCGAGGGGAATTATTCTCTTCTAATGTAGTAACCTATATGACTTTTTTTAAAATTGGATAATTAACAACAAGAAATCACAATCAAAATCAGAATCAGAAGGCATTTATTGCCACATATGTTACAGATAGAGGAATTTGTAAGTAAATTGAGATAAAAGTATATGTACTATCAAAGTAAGGGATTACCAGTGCAGTACAGCTGGACGTCCCAGTCTGATGCTTGCACTCTGGATGACAGGCAACGCACTCACCATCAGGTCCTGCAAATTCCCTGGGAGCTCTTGAGAGGCATAATTCATGTCATTTTATGGTCAGATCAAATCAATCCATTCATCGCACAAACAACACCAGTGGGAATATCGACACACATGTGTTTACTGACCCAGTGTAGAAATGACAGCTTCCAACACATGTGCCCTCTCGGCTGTAGTTCCTGCAGGAGAGACACTGGTCGGGTCCCGGGCCCCAGCATCCTGAGTCCGAACACAGCGGGTCACACACATGGCCCTGTGCAACTGCACACGCCACAACATGAGAAAAAGATAAGCAAACTGATGAAGATGAGGTATGTGGGCTTCATTTTTCTGATTAGCGGTATGGGATTGGTAAGAGTGTACAGAATAGTATGTTCGGCGTCATTTTGATCAGAGGATCAGAGGATTTGGGGCATTTCTGTGTCGTCTCACCGCACTCGGCCAGCGGCCTGTTGTTGTTGAAGTTGTTGACTCGAACTCTGCGGCCTCTGAACAGCTGCAGCCAGTTCACCGTGTGGTGGTAACAGAGGTTGGCATTCTGACTGATGTACACACTGCCATCACTGATCTCCCGGAGAGAGCGCAAGCCCAGTGAGGTAAGAGTGTGGATGCGCATCACCATCAGAGAAAATCGCCTTTTGGTGTGAAGATTGGGGGACAGAAAAACAAAACCCATTGTGTTAGCTGGCATTTACCTATATGCATATGTATATACATATATATATATATATATATATATATATATACTGGCTTATATCAGAGGGTGTCAGTTGTACAACACACTTAACATGTGATGCAAATAAATATGAGTTTCGGCGAGAACAATCCCGATGCAGTTTAAAGTCAGTAACACTACATCAGAGTTCATACCGTTTGAATATCTTCACTTTCTATACAAATGTTTACTGATTTAAATGAGTTTCCTCAGAGCACCAACATTAACACATTAACAAACACCAGTGTGTGTAAACAGGCCTTACTTGTCAGGAGACCTCCCTTGAATGGTTGTGAGACTCGAAAAAACTGACAGATCATTCAGTTCTTCGGGCCACGACTGGATGTTTAGGATATCTGACAGTTGAACACAGTCATAACAATGAATATAAGGACTGCAAAGGTATTTAGATTGTTGTGGGCCATTAATAGCATGATCATAGTTCATATTATTAGATGGACAATTTAATGGTAGATGTTGTAAAGAGCAACACACTGCTGCACTCGTTCTTTAAAAAACTGAATTCTGCCATGATATGTACAACTACAACGCATTACAATGCATTACTACCACCAACAACGTTTATACACACCTGTTATTTCTCTGACGGTGTGAAAAACCTCCAGCTTTTTGGCATCCAACGCCGGGATGTTCTTAAAGTCATCTCTAGGAGCAATAAAACATTTACTATGAACAAGCGGCCTGTAAATCGCTGCAGACGGCGATCCTTCAGGCAGGCAGGACATTTACCCGAGAATCCCTGTGACCAGGAAGTGAAGGCTGCCCTGGATCTTGGTGCAGTTGATGAAGCTGTCTATGTTGCTGGAGTCCACCGTTTGTCGATGCTCGGCGCCGGTGCCTTCACACACTAGAGGAGAGGCCAAGTGGCATCTTAGGCTAACTCAATGTTAGAGGTGGGAGAAGAAATGATAATATTAACCGACCTTTTGGGCAGAGTCCGCTGCAGAACTCACACTGCTTCTGGCCGTCTCTCTCCACCTCCATCTTGTCTGGTGGACAAGCGCTCACACAGGAGCTACCGTCCACCACGAAATGGGCTTTAAAAAGCAAGACGAAAAAGAAACAACAACACTGTGACACAGGTTTGCAAAATCAGTTAAAGTATTTTCCGCATTGCACAAAAAGTAACAGTACAAGATGTTGAGGACACAAAGAAACACAGGCCACTCACTGGGACACTGGGAGACACAGATTGATCCGTACTGATATTTGGCATTAGGGTTGGTCTCCATTTGAAATGTCTGCTTGTTATAGATCAAAGTCTGTGGACACTGAGGCACGCAGGCTTCAGAGTCGTTGAAATGACGACATGCCTACACACACACACACACACACACACACACACACACACACACACACACACACACACACGGCATATTTTGCAGGTTTTAACTCACATTGTATACATCCAATGGATTAAACATGAATTCCTATTGCCTTCCATAACATGAGCATGTTAGCAATGTAGAAGTATGTATGCTTAAAATGACTTCTTAGCTCAAGGCACAGCTGTGAGAGAAGCCTCACAGCTGGCTAGCTAAATGATTGTACTTACAAGTACACTGACAGAAAATCAAACCCGGGATACACACATGCTAATGTTTCAACAAGAAGAGCAATTTGTTTCTTTTTCAGAACTGCCTCAAATATTGGACCATCAAAAAAAGATAATGGTTTGGATGAGCAGGTTTCACATCCCAGCAGTATGCGTAGAGTGCTTAAAACCATTGATGTCTGTTAATATAACCGGTTACATTGAGCTATTATAAGTATTATTTTCAAATAAAGGAGGCAAAACCATTTGAAAATATATTTTGTCTTTCTTAGTGAAGAAACCTCCCCGCCACACAGTATAATGTCTGCAAAGACTGCTTTTGTCCTAATTACTTTTAAAGACGGAGTACTCACAAAACAATCCACGTCCAGAGGGCCTTTACATCCCGCTGCACATTCTATGTGGCAGCAGTCCCTGGGGCTCGTCCCAAAACAGCGACCATTACACTGCGGAGCGCACACCGTCTTAGTCACTGAGACACACAGGGGAGACGGGGTGAACAGAGGTCACCGATGTGCACATGTGTGTGTGTTTCTATCTATGAGGAGACACAGTCAGTCAGGAGAAAGGAGGAGGGAGTTGAACGGAACCACTGGGCACTCACAGATCTGACATTGGTCCACGTTTGGGCCCCAGCAGTAATCTCCACAGGATTTATGGCAAGGCCCTGACAGAAGGACACAGGGGCAGTTCTAATAAAAGGGTATGGAGAGATAACTTGGGGAAATGTGAAATAGGACCAACCCATCACCGACCTTTCTCTCCATTGTGCTGGATGTCAATGAGAGCACCATTGTCCCTGATGATGTCTCGCCAGAAGACCCAGGGGCCATAATTAAGGTACTTGTTGTTGATAATCTGTACTCCTCCCTCGAGAATCTCTGTGAAGAAGATGTTTAGGAATTCCTATCACATATTTGGAAGGCACAGACACATGCAGGATTGTTTTTGACCATCCAAAGCAGCAGTTTATTTCGGTTTTAGCCTCAAATCTGAAAAGCACATTTCGCATATAGGAAGTCCTCTGTCCAGGCTTGTGTTTTCTCGGTCAACCCTCGTTACCTGTCAGGTTTGCGAGGCCCAGCTGGCGCAGGCCGTTGGAGCCATCCTTGGGGTAGTTGAAGAAGACAGAGAGAGCGAAGCGTCTCTCGTAAAGGCTGTTTCCTCTGATGACCCGTAGTTGCCCCAAAGGAATCTCCTGAAAGTGGTTCATGGCAATGAGGACATAGCCGGTCACCTCACGGATCGCCTAGAGGAGGAGAGGAGGGGCACACTTCTACACCTTGTACAACATCAATTGACAGACAAGCCAGGGGGAAAAGGGGGTGATCTTTTACCTTGAGGAAGGAGAAGTCGCGGCAACTCTCGATCTGAGTGATCTCCAGGTTTCCCATGATGATCTCACAGCCATCGTACCGGTCCTTGATCAGGTTGTACTGAATCTCCTGAGAACCCGTGGAGCTCAGTCCATTCTGCGTCCCGGGACACACCACTGACAAAACGTGCGCAGAAATGGGGAGAAATATAACTACTGTAACTGGTGAGAAGAACCTTGGGTCAATGCATCACTTCACTCACTTGCTATTTATATTTTAGACCATCTCAATTGTTGTGTATGTTTAGCTAATTTACTACACTTCACTCAGGGAGTTTTTCTCTGTCTGGTTTCTGTTCATTTCTCTAACACTTGAAGATAAATAATCATGATAAAAAATGAAGATTCTTAAAACTTTTTTTGAATTGACTTTGAAAAGTCAGTATCATGGTTTGTCAGTTATCATTGCAACACAATGCGTTGCATTACAGTTCAACAACTATGTGATCTAGTAGTCTGTGGTGATTTACACAATTCAACAATACGTTGATCTATTTTGATACCACATACCAATGATAAGCATAGTCAAAGCACCTAGAATACACAAACACGCAATACCGTTGTGTAAAAGTGAACAAAGTGTGACTATTTTAGTGCGAAGGTTATATCGTGCATTGTTTATGGCCTTGGTCTACTTGATACTGCGTCTGATGATGTTGGGAGAGTTTGATGTGAAGCACAGCGACGCGGTCAGGCTGTAACCCTGGTACACGGAGCAGGCCGGGGCTGGTCGAGGGGAGGTTGAGGGAGAGGGGCTTTTCTCAGACAACGTTCCTCATTGTGACAAAGCTATAAATGTGGACAGTGTATCCCAGTGACTGAAGAGTGATGCAGTGACAGACAGTGCTTCTGTGTGTGTGTGTGTGTGTGTGTGTGTGTGTGTGTGTGTGTGTGTGTGTGTGTGTGTGTGTGTGTGCGTGTGCATATGTATGTGTCTGGGGGTCTGCGTTGCTGAGATCATACCAACAGACAATGGAGCTTGTGTGATTGGGACTTTCTGGCAGAGGGAAGGGAAATATCATGAACGCAAGGAGAATTGCACACTATCTCCTATAATGATCAACAAAAACTGTGGAGCGGGGCCTTCATGTGCAAAGACAAAACACCTGCAGCTGTCAGAGCAACGCACACTTCCTGTCTATGTTGGGGACATGTAGAGGTGTAAACCGGGATCTCGCAGCTATACAAACGTTATGTTGTTGTGTGGGCTTTCGATGGAGAACTTCATGTTGACGTATGACTGCAGTGTAGCACATATCTTTGTGCTCTTTATCGTGCTACAATGGGTCTCTTGAGAACACTCATCTTGGAGAGTTGCATGATAATTCTGACTGTCAGCAATTAAAACTCATGCATGCAAAAAAACGGCTAAAGGATCTTTTGAGAAGCAAATGTGTCTTCAGCTAAACAAAGCCATCACTTTCTGATTTGACTGCATGTATTAACATGAACATGACTAATTGTTCTCAGTAGCTTTTTGCAACTGGGATCATTGCCATGCAAGCTGTTTTGTCTCCACGCTGGACTTTAGTGTTGCTGCCAGCCATCACTAGCAGAAAATAAAGTTACAATGTATTACTGCATTAAGAGCTTTAATCAGAGTCCAGCAACAACAGTAAAAAAGCTCTCAAGGAAGAGAACATCTATTGCCTGATTTAAAACAAAAAGAAAACAAGTGAGGGTTAATACTTCAAATGTAGCCCCTTAAACTCACACATGTCTACATGTCCTCCATGGTAATGACTGTATTCTATTATACCATATTCTTATTACATCCTGTTCTATTCCACCAAAATATAGTTGCATACCATGTTAGCTACTACGATAACAGGCAAATTTAAGCCGGAACTTTTCATATAGTAATAAGAACAATATATTGGTCAAATAATGTCAATTAAAACAAGCAATAAGTTTCATGTACACAATAAAATCTCCTTACCTTCATGGGTTTGGCATGATGCTATTTGTAGGCACCGTGATAATGTCAAACTCAGTAATATGACTCCCCACTTGATCATGTTGATTTCAAATCTCTCTAGTGCGATATGATCATACCACACAGGCTTGGGTAGTCCTAGGAGGAGCCAATGTTTGTGTGGATGAAAATAAAAAATAGTCAAAGCGAAGGAGAAATGCTGCTCCTTCCATCAGACTCCGTACCAAACATAATGAGAAAAGGGAAATCGCGCCAATTGCAAGACTAACAACAACAAGGAACAAGCGGCAGTTAATTTGGACCCGGGCTTCCCCTCCCAGAGAGACACATGTGATTGGACAGGAGCCCGACGTGTTCACCAATCACAAGTTGATCCGTCATTTCTTTCTTCTAAGAGCTGCTGCCCATCCAAACGGGTCAAATCCTATTATCATTTTATTAAAAAACACCGTAAGCCCATACTATTGACATTGACTGCCAAGTTAACTATGTTTGCAAATTGATTCCAAACAAGCAACTTCGAATATGACAAACAAATGTTTGTGATCTAGCCTTTCGCATGTGCGCCAGCGTTAACGCCCTGCGCCCTATGTGTCCATTTCTGTGCAGTTATTTTGGTTTCATGTTGTCAGCTGCTGCATGAGGAACCAGTACTGTGGCTCCCGGCCAGCAGCCCAGTGCTGAGTGACCACACTGTCCTCCCTGTAAAGAGCAGTATTGTCCCCAAAAGCCCTAAACTGGTTAATCACCTCTTTGATGCGTGTGGAGCGGCCTGTCACAATGGGGCACATTGTCGGATGGTCAAGTGACTTCTGAACCCCAAACAAGAACAAGCTTAATTTGAGAAAATGGTTTCAGAGCAGGCGAGATTCCTGAAGATAAAACTGTGAGTGAAGAGGGAAGGCCTCGCTAATGGCTAACATCCGTAACTGACGTGTCCCGTTTAACCTCAGTTTGTGTGAGTCAGAGAGGAATAGTTGCAGTTTAATAGCAAGAATCCCTGCGTGGGAATTAAGTGAGACTACTCAATCATGTAGCATATAGTTCACTTTAATCACCCTTGTATCCATCCATAGTCAAACCGCTTATCCTGCACAAAGGGTCGCAGGGGGGCTGGAGTCCATCCCAGCCAACTTTGGGCGATAGACAGGGTACACCCTTGTATCACCTTGTGCTATTAAAATGTAATGTGTAACTTGTCCTCCCTGTCCAGCAGGAGGAGACACAGTCTAAACCTTGGTGCTTGGAGAACACAGCTTCTGCAGGGTTTGTGAAAGATGAACTCTGGGCCAGTGTTTGCTCCTACATGGTTGTTTCATATGATTATTCTTTGAGTCAACATTTTGTTTTTTGTTTGTTTTTGCAAATTCTTCTGCAAAAATGATCCGTTGAGGACTTGTCCACTTGCCTGTTGACAGAGTATCAATACTCAGTAAGTTTAAATACATTTGAGTCAGTTACACAATGAACAATTGGTGTAAATTGGTGCAACAACATCTGTGTTGCTTTGTAAAAGAGTATATAGGCCAAAATGTCACTGTGACATTTAAACAATTAAATGTGTGGTATTCTCACATTCCCAGCTGGGTATCTCTGCCGTCAGGTCAAGGAAAGTGTCTCCAATAAAGGCCTAATGGTTTCTGCCGAGTCGGGCGGTTTTACATCGCCAACATGGCGTCAGCCTTGGTGGCCCTGTCCCTTCCAAGGCGAGCAGTGGGGGTGACTCCGGTGGCCTTTTGCAGTTGCCACTCTCTTCAGGAATTGATGAATTGATTGTGGAGCCGCTGCCAGTGTGTCTGTGCCCTGGGCGAAGGCGTCCCGGTTACGGGTGGGAATCCCAGCTATGGCATCCGCCCTGGGGCTACTATTGTGGCAGACCCGCGGGGGGCCGTGGGGGCTGGTGGCCCCGGGAGCAGCTCCGAACCCACATACTGCTGTCACACCCCTGGAGACACAGCGGCACTCTCCCTTACGGACCTCTGGGCGGCCCAGACAGAATGACTCTCTGCCGAGTGCTGCAATTCCAAAGGGAAACTACCTGATTTTGCGAATCTTCTCTTGATGGCAGCAGTTAGAAGAGGCCGAATGAAAAGGACGACTTCGATTCATTTCACCTGCTTTATCTCACCACTACATAAGCCATAATCTGACTTTAATTGTAGTTGGCAACCAGTACCATGAACATTTGGCGAGTTGAAAATGAATCCTTTACTCAGAATCTTGAGCACATGTGCTCAACAATCCATTTTAAATGAGTGGATATTTGGGTTTTAAATAATGGTGAGTGCACAAACCACCGTATCACGATCAAAGTGGGTTGATAACTTAACGACCAGAGAAACAAGCAAGAGCGCACGAGGCATCCACCAGGGAACTAAATCCATTATGTATAACACAACATGACAAAAATGAGTATGGCAAAGTAAATTTGTGTTTTGGCGTTTTTATTAATCGTTTGACGATGCGCGATGAATCATTAAATCATTCAACCCAATTTGCACCAGTTTGTGTTGTTTTCATTAATTTCTTCTTGATAATGTCCAAGTAAATTCAATGAATCTATGTTGAAAGTGTTTGTGACCGTCTTTCTCTTCAACATTTCTCAAGTTAATCTTGAGAATAGATATTGAACAGAGGATGTTTAGCCGACACTGTTGTGAGTCCATCAGTGCATCAGATCCTTGCTGATACACATACAAAAAGTTACTAAGAGCAAGAAACCACTGGCAATGAAAGGCCACAAAAACAATCGTCACACCCAACTACACACAAACTGCTGTCAGGTGTACACATCTGCCACCACACGGACCCACAGGTGTATCAACAGCACTACATGTCTTTACACCTACACATACAGTTGACGTAGAAAGACATGCTTTTGCATATTAGAAGGGTTGTTCGATAAACAACAGTACGGCATTGTTCCAAGCAGAAGCATTCATCTGGACTAACAAATGTAGTCTGAGGAAACAGGCTATTATAATTCACTTTTATTACAGATCTTGTACAGTATTAACATGCCTTGAGATGCAGTATTATTGTCATCCTCTCTCCTATTTTTTTCATTTGATACGATATGTGTGAACACTCAAAAAGACAACCGATCTAGTTAGTAAATTAAGAAATGTAACACTAAAATCAACACTTGCCTTTTGGTTCACAATAAATAAATACTCCATTCAAAAATACAAGAGAAAAACAGACATTACATTTTGTACAGCTATTAATGCATCAGGATATTTTGTGCAACATAATGCACAGAAATACGGTTAACACAGGAAAGGCTTATAATGTCACGTCAACTAGGGATGAATAAGTCAGAATGACAGGCAATGTGAGTTCTTTGCAGGGATATAGCGCAGCTACTCGCACAAACTGACTTAAAAATGAACATTCAAAAATCATGTTAGCGCTCTGATATTGCCAATTACATGCTCTGCTGCATCAATACCCACAGGCCAATAGCAGCATTTTTTTCCCCAAAGCCATGGAGCCGGTACAGTGCCCATGTTCTATCATCCGTATCAGCTACCAAATCTCACTGGCACCAGACAAAATGTTTTAACCCTTATTGAGCCAAGGCGAGTCAACTTAGCGCAAATCTTTATTCACAGCAGCGGCCTGGAGTAGTTCACAGCTCTTATAAGCACATGAGCCAGCACTGGGATGTCTCCATGCAGGTTATGAGCGGGTAATGTACAGTGATAACAGGACACCTTTTATCCGCAGCTGCCTTAAAAGTATATGCACAGATACAAAAGAAAAGCACTTGATGCATACACATAAATAATTATATAATAAAACCAGTAAACAAACTTACAGATAAATAAAGAAATACATGTTGACCTAAATATGAAATCTTTAAGACTAAAAAGAGTATGTCATCTGGTGTTGTGTTTGATAAAATAAGTAGAATTCTAATAAACACATATTGAAATGTGTTTATTTTTGCAGATTGAGCTCTGAATCGCATGATTTGGTGTTAAAACACAAGTATGGACAGAAAAGGACAACTTCACATTTATCTGAGCCTTTATAAGTATACCTTTTTTTAACGATGTGATATTATTCTGAGATAGTAGAAGTACTCCAACTATACTATTATGACATTCTTTATCATTTACATTAAGTATCTTGCGGTTGCTCGGCCATCATGGGCCTACATCATCACATTTCTGAACAAATAAAAGATGATGTAGGTCAAGGGGTTAAGGAGACATTAGGGGACGTACATGTCTTTACAGTAACATTATACCATTACGTCCCAATAATTATGTATTCAGCATAAAGAATGTAAGTGATTTAGGTCAAACTCAACACCATTTATGAATATTTAAAAACGCTCACCGCAGATCCAAACAAATTAAACTATTAAAAAAGAAAGGAGAATTAAATTGTCTCCTCCTGGGAGCTTTTCGGCACCGCCCCTCCATGTAAACCCAATGGATCCGCTATAACCACCACAAGGAGCTGGCACACGGGCTCGTCCCCGCTTCAGACCAGACTCTTCACTTCTTGTTCTTCAGCTGATTGGCCAGCCAGTCCAGCCCCTCGTAGAGGCCGTCGCCACTGGTGGCACAGGTGGCCTGAATGTACCAGTTACGGTGGCGTAGGGAGTGCAGGCCCAGCTTGTCTGTGATCTCTGCCGCATTCATGGCATTGGGCAAGTCCTGAATAAAAATCACATCATGGCCGTCGATCAGAAGGCCTCAGGTGGCGTGAACGTGCTGCAAGAATCGTTTGCGACGGAGGAGACGCAAGGCGGCGTACCTGTTTGTTGGCAAAGATGAGAAGAACGGCGTCCCGCAGCTCGTCCTCAGCCAGCATCCTCATCAGTTCCTCCCGAGCTTCGTTCACCCGCTCGCGATCATTGCTGTCCACCACAAAGATCAAACCTGTAAGGAGAGGTCAGCGTCTTTTTAACGGTTGAACAAAACAAAACCCTCACTGCTGCTATTTCCAGAGTCCATTTCATCCCACTGAACACCGGGCTGATATCACAATGTTGAATTCGTTTGAAAGCAAAGGCTTTCAACAACATGACTAAGATGATGATGACGATCAGTCGGAGGCAATTTTTTTGCAAAATGACCTCATCCAAAACATTAGTCAGATCTCCTCTCAGGTGCTCGGGGTGAGATTTCGCTCCAACATGGCTGAAAGGTGAATCATCATCTAAGGGGCCGCTGGTCTGGCTCACCCTGGGTGTTCTGGAAGTAGTGCCGCCACAGGGGACGGATCTTGTCCTGGCCACCCACATCCCACACGGTGAAGCTGATGTTCTTGTACTCCACAGTCTCTACATTGAAACCTGGATGAGAAAGAAATCAAAGTCAGTTACACAAGCCGGAGGAAAGCGTTTTGACTAACGCGATCAGTGATGAATTACTTTCTCACACACCGATTGTGGGGATGGTGGTAACAATCTCCCCAAGCTTCAGCTTGTAGAGGATGGTGGTTTTCCCAGCAGCGTCCAGCCCCACCATGAGGATCCTCATCTCCTTCTTGCCTATCAGGCTCTTTAACAGATTGCCAAAGATGTTCCCCATGATGGCTGGCAGCTCTCACCTCAACTGCAACAGAACTGTTACACAGGGAGGGAGCTTAAGAGAGCGCTTTGCGTTTATAGCAACAAAACTGGCACGTGAACCACATGTAGTTAAAAACCACACACGGAAAAAAAAACACGCTCTTCAAAAGCAACTCTGAACATTACCAGGGACAGAAGCCACCTCAGAGGAAAGCCAATAAAAGTATACTTCACACCTCAGCAGGTGGGCCGACCTGAAGCACACTGGATCTCCGTTATGTGGATACATTGAGTGACACATGACCTCCGGTTGTGAGAACGCACGGCGCACACAGCCTGTAGCTCTGAGGCCAGAGGCTTTGACGGGTACGTTCCTGTCCAGGTATGGACCCTTGTGCTCACATATCCTACCTGAGGGGCATTTTTCCTTATTACTATTCCAAAATTAGATTTAACAAAATAGCCCCACAGCCGAATGTGCAGCAGCAGGAGGATCCCACTGTTTTTTTTATAACACAAATCCCTTTTTTCTTTTATGATGTATTTTTTGACACTGATGCTACGACTGATTACCTAACTTACGCATCCATTCATGTATTTAAAGAGCACGGGCTGCAGCTGCCAGCCTGCTGCAGTGGGCGCACATCCATGTAACGTTAGTCCCATTAGTCATAACGTGAAGGCGGCTGGTGCTGCAGTGCCAGCGCGAGGCGATGGCTGCCAATGAGACAAATTACGCGCGCACCACATTAAATAGCATGTTACCTGTGCGCGGTTGAGCTAGCGGCAATGTTAGCGGGCGTCTTAAAATCTTGGAGCTGTGAATTTCTCCGTGCATATATTGCGTGCTGTAAGGAACCCTCGCACGGTCACGACAAGCCCGCCGGTCGGCCTGAGGTCGTCGATTTTAACGGCGGTTTCATTTTTAGAGTCACGAGGTGTCAAAGCGGCGAACGACACGCTGACCTGCGTTGATAGAATAAATCTTGGAGCATTTTCACCATTTGCATCACGTTCACTTACCCGTCAACGGCAGGAAGGCAGCTGGACTCAGGCGGAGGACTGGATGATAGTCTCGCGATGAGCAAGTGCCGTGACAATGTGTGTTCTCGCGATAGTTGGATTGTCGAGAGCCCCTCTCACGTTTGCCATCCGGATGGCTTGTTAAAAATGTTATTGTATCTTTATCAAATGTGAATAATATTTTTTAGCATCAGAATCTACCTGATTTAAGACTCATGCTTGTTTTCAAATTCCCCAAATAGTGTCTCTTTTTCAATCACACAACATCCTCTCTGACTTTGTGTTTGATGCTATTAATGTGGTGTAACACAGACGACCAACATCTAAGACAATATTGAAATGTAACAGAGTGTCTGCAGGAAAACATGCTTGAATAATTAAAACGGGAATCCTCTTAATGAATAAATAAACGCCTTACTGTAATAGGATTCTACGGGACACATCCTGACAGCAGCCCTCTTTGTGTCACAGACATTGAGATGACAAGACAGACTGACTGAATCAATATCATAGCAGGTTACCAACCTTGAGTACTGATTTTTTATTTTATTTTATTCAGGCATTTCAAAAGATGATACTGTACGTGATTTAACAAGTGGCAATACAAGTAGGAGCAGAACAAACACCCCTTTTGAGTGTGGGTTTAACCCATTCACCATGAAAACATCCCAGTGTGATTAAATGACTCTCATGAGACCAGCCTCACAGGTGGATCCAACCCCCCCGCCCCATCTTCCTCTCTGTTGTATTAGTGGTCCAGTGATAGATGTGTTTATCAACTCTGTGGTAAAGTCATGAGGAATAAAGAGGGGAGCAGATGTTTGCAGCTGCAGACCAGATTAAGGGGTGGAGTGGATGATGGGGGGGGGCCTGCCGAGTTGGTGTGTTAGCGAGGACTTGGGAGCGGGTTACACGGGCAGCGGGCTCGGGTAGTGGCAGAGGAGGTGGGGTGGGGAACTATGACTTAAAGGAGCCTTTTCTCTGAAGTGTCTGCCAGCGTGCACCCCAGCAAACACAATCACAAGTCTCGTCGGTTCTGCTAGCTGAACTAATGAGGGCCTGCGCGTTGAGGGCAGGGGCTTTGATGTTCTGGGTAGCTGGCTCCTTGTGTTTTTCCTCCCGCTCTCCTTCTCTGCTGGTCCCACATCAAAAACCAAAGGGGAGTTAAGAAGCAGATGTTTTGAGGCCTGTATTTATACAGAGTACACTTTATTCACCCCCTTCTCCATTCCCCATTTGTCCTTTGCTTTTGCATCTTTGCTGTACGTACAGCAAGCACATATCTCCCCATCTTTATATCCAACTAAACACACTAAATCGCCTTACTTTATACATATAATCATCCTGTCAATCAAAATGGGTAACTTTTATCTCCCAACTTCCTCTTTCGGCCTCCCTCTCTTAAATTTCAGCCCAGTCTGGTTGTCATTACTCTGGGGGGCACTCAATGTGTTGCTATGCATGTGTCTATGTCTGCAGCGATGAGAGGGAGAATGGGAAAGGGAGAAAAAGAGAGCAGAGAGGGAGAGAAACCAATCCCAGACTGTCCAACAACCTCTGTCTGACACATGGGAACACCAGTGACAGGAAATTCCCTTTCTTAGCCGCTCCAGGGTGAAATGATAAAGGAAAGGAGAAATGCAAACCAGAAAGCCATTACCTTATCATTCCATATAAGTCGCTGTCTCTCTTCTATTCCCTCACTAAATACCAAACAGACAGTCGATTCAGCCACTGCCATTCGTCAGGAGTCAAGGGATAGCCACTGAAGTCCATAAAAACAATACTTGATTGCCATTAAATCTCATATGGCAGACTGAGCATGTCTCATCTGAGTTTGGATCATCTGAGATATCTAAGAATGCTCCAATCATAAATTCAGTCTGAGTTGACATGAGAGTCTTGCTAAATCTGCAGCGTAACGAGAATAAAATGGCGAATCATTCGGGTCCAACAGTTCATGTCTGCATCAGCATGCATGTTTTTGATTGTGCGTCAGTGCTTGTGTTCCTAAACGCAAGTGTCTTTTTACAATAAACGCATGCATTTGTTTACGTGCCCGTGGTTATATTTGTGAAGTCTGTCTTCTGGGTAACGGGGACACAACGTCCCTCATGGTTTAGCATGTCCCTTTCACGGTTATGAACTCTGTGCAGATGATCCCCTCCGATGATCACAAAGCAGAGCCTGGTATAATCAGCCCCACTCTGCTCGCTCGATGCTTTTCTCCAGTAATAAAAGTCATACTTTGAAGAAACAATATCCTGCAGCTATAAAAAGTCCTTCTCTCAGCATGAAGTGGCCATAAAAAGGCTCTCACCTCCCAAATCTGTGGTGTGTAGGACTTACCTCCCAAAAATGACACAGCAAGAGACACGCACGCATACACACACCCTTCAGCATCCGTTCAAGACTGAAGCGGGTCCATCCCTCACTTTGACATACTGCATGTGGGAATAATCTAAGGAGTGCTCGGACTGATGAAATGGACAAAGGCAGGCTCAGAATAACAAAAGCCCAGTCGTGCTCTCATAGAAAAAGTGACACGTGCCACAGCTGAAAGACATGACCACGAGCGACCACGCTCATGGAGTTCTTACTATTGTTGAGATGGTGAAAATACATCAAAAGGAGGTTATTCATTCAGAAAAAAAGCTACCTATTCAAATGTATCATTCCTTAAAAAGAAACCACTGTCCTTTAACTTGTTTTCTCATATTAATACAAGCCTCGGCTAGAAATATTTTTTGACGGACCTCCAAATAATTATCCTTGTTTGAGTCACAGGTGCAAAAATGACAAATGGAGTAAATATCTTGGAGAACATTAAAGGAGTTAAAATGAAGGTTAAATGTTGTAAATTGTGATTTGAGCTTTATGTCTAACAGCCCTGGTTCACCATCCAGCACTAGTCTGTCAGCAACCAGGACAAAAAAAGACAGTCTTCAACACAATAATAATATTAAAAATAATACATTTACAAATATACATGTAAACATTCAAATACACAACTACTGTACAATGAGATGTTGGCATGTATGAACAGAAACGCTTCTCTGCTTGTCTTTGTTTCGCGGGGTAGAATAGGGCTGTTTTCATGACCGAGAGGGCAGCGTCTAAACAACCCACGGCGAGACAAATGACATGAGTCACCTCTTCAATCTCTGACTTGGCATTTTGAGAATAACAGCGGCTACAAAGAGAAAATAGATCCCAGATGATGGACCAAAAAGAAGGGGCGGGCGGGGGGGCGATAAACAGATTCTCTGGGAGAGTTACACGACGAGCAAAACAAACGCTCGAACAAAGGGAGCGGGCCGAGGGACAGGCTCGCCATCTTGAGTCCTGGGTGGGTAAAGGCCCGACGCGACTGGGAGTCTACTTGCACACGTTGACCCACTCTGTGAGGCGACACTCCTCACACAGCACGTAGCAACACCAGTGGAATCTGCAATTGCAGCGCTCGCTGCGTGTCTGCTTTAGGATGTTGTGTCCACGGCCGCAGCACAGCGCGCCGCAGCTGTCTGTGCTGTAGCTGGTTTTGTTGCAGATGCGTCCTTGAGTGCCCGGAGAGTCCACCGACGCGTCGCGCTCGCAGAAATCCGGAGACTTGTCAAAGAACACGAGCTCCCTCGACATGGTTCGACGGCGGCCTCCGTGAAGTCCCGCTGCGCTCCTGCTGGCGCCGTTTCCTGTCCGAGGGTTGAAAACCCCGTTGTTCTTGTTCTGGGAGTTGACAAAGATGGCTGACAGGAACTTTTCCTTGAGCAGAGAACCCACAAGCCGGAACTCAGGAGACACATGCCAGCAGGTCTTAAACTGACAGCTCCCCGATGTGCCATGGCATTTGCACTTCCTCTTCATGTTGTCAGTCACAATCTGTGTGTATAGAAAGGTCAATGATGTGACAAGGCCGAGATGCAACAATGACCCTGAAAGAGATGTGTGCCGGTGCGGAGTAACTCTGCTCTCCAAGCATCACGGGGAACACAGTGGGTGGGCACATTACTCACCTGCCGTCCAACTCGGTTGTTATGTATCCTCATGCGAGCGTGAATGTCTCTCGGAGACCCGCGGGAGTCGAGCCAGTCTCTGGAAAAACGGTCCCCAAAATTGACGTCATGACTGCAGCCCCCCCACTCCCACGTCTCCTGCATGGAGGTTAACTCATCGGGTAACGGCTTGAGAGGGGCGGAGGGATGCGGGGAGCGCAGGTACGCGGGCAGGTCGCCATGGTGACCGCTTAGCTCGGTGGGTAGCGATCGGGTCATGCTGAGGCCCGCCCCGCCCTTCTGCAGGGTCTGCAGCTGCAGCTGTGTGAGTTTCAGCCTGATCTTGTCGTCGTCCTGGCGACGCTTGGCCTCACAGCCACACCCCCTCAGCTTGCCCATGCTGCAAGCCGAGGCCACAGAGTGAGCCACACCCGCGGCCATCAAGGCCACAGAGAAGGCACTCTCGCGAAAACCTGGGAGCAAGGGGGATACACATTTGTCTGCAGCGCTCTCATAACTAGTCCTACCCGTCCCATAAACCACGGGTCACATTTAGACCACCATCAGCTTGCCTCAAGTTCTCACCCCTGTTGAGGATGGTGTTGTGGTGGGGAAGCTTGCCAAGGCCCTCGAGTGACGAGCAGTTCCAGCGCTGATCTCTGAGCTGATGCTGGCATTCGTGGAGGGCCACCTGGATGCCCTGCAGAGCCGAGGCTGTCACGTCGGGGCTTCGCACACACATCCGCATCTGACGTTTGCTGAGGCCTGCCAGCCTCAGGCATACTGAATTAGGGGTTAGCACTGGATCTCCTGCCACCCTCAGGCTGAGGATATCATTACACAGCACCCTGCAGAGAGAGAGAGAGAGAGAGAGAGATGGTGGGTGTTGGGAGTTCATCAGAGCGAGTTAGGAGTTCATTAGTCAAATCCAGAGAAGTATGATAATCAGAAAAATACAAAAGCAGATTTAAGATGGATATGCTACAAAATGAATGTTGTCTGAATATATTTTCTGGATAAAATTAGCAATAAAATGTGTAAAGCAATTGCGCAAGCATTTACTGCAGTGAGTTCCTTCAGATGTTTCTTAAGTAGGAAAAAACGTAATCCTAAACAGATCATCCGTCTGCAAAGTCCAAAAAGCGGGGAGTTACTCGCAGTTACGACATCTTTTGGAGAATAACAATACTTGAATTTAAATTGATCTCTTAATGGCGTAGCTCACATTTGTAGAAGGCAAAACAATTAGTAAATAGTGGTTTCAATTTTTCAATATTACACAGAATCTGCCTGTGAAATCACACATATTTCTTTTTTTTTTTAACTAAGTGTGTTAGTTATCCGTTTAAATCATTCAGTCATACACTCAAACTTCACTCAACTCTTGGCGGATTCCATGAAGCAAGAAGCCGCGCGCAACACCAACTATATCCTGGTGCTCTCAAGTGCACTCACGTTAATGCAGGTGACATAAGTGCTGCTGCCAAAATCAGGAATTGGTCCCAACGGAGTTTTTTTGATAGCTCCATTTTGTTAAGCGTCTTGCGCGACGCGACATTAAAACACCCGTAGCAAATTCCTGTACTGCATAAGAATACCAACAAACAAAAAAAGACGAGGAGGAGTGGAGTATTATCGATGCACCGCCAAACGACCGAAGAGTGAAGACGGAGAACAGAGGAGCTCGAGGGCGAGAGTAAACGGGGGGGTGGGGGGGGAGAAAGAGGGGAGGGGAGGAGATGCCTCCACAGGCGGCTGTTTGAGAAATATTGGCCAACATGAAAGTAGGATCACCAGTTGATCGTTTTATTATTTGACTAGTGATCGTTTGTCCAAGCGTTAAATGACGCGCGTAAAATGACTTTTACGCACGAGCACCAGCTCGACGGCCGCGGCGGCAATGGTCTTAAGTTTGGATCATCTAAAATACTGAATTCTCTAAAAGCAATTCATAGAAATAAGCATGTATTTAGACTTTCATTAGTGTGCCGGCACATTATGGGGTATAGTATTCCATTTTTTTGAGAAAGGAACAGAACGACTTGGCAAAATGAAATATGTAGAGTGAAAGTGGATTGTGTTCATAAAGGGGCTGAGATAAATGATGAATGGGGGGAGGGAGAGCTGCTGGTCCCACTGTACGACAGGGAGGCAGCAGCAGCAGGCAGGCGGCTCCACCAGCAGACCCTCCAACAATACTGTTCTTAGTCATGTGCCCCCTTCCTCCACTCCATCGCAGCGGCTGTTTCTCATTGTTTGGGTTTGAAACAACTTCACGTCGTCACCCCGAAGTCTTTATTTCAGAGTATAAAATGATAATAACATAAATTACAAAAGTGACAGGTCAGATATTTTCTGCTTTTGGGATAATTCACATTATGTTGTCACATGGTCCGATAAATCCCACGTGGAAAAAAGAACGCTTCATTGAAATGGGTTTGCGGGGCGTTATGGGGCCTTAATGAATGGCTTTTAAGTACTCGATGTGGATATTTAAGACTACCAAACAGCATCTCAATTATCTATTTAAATCCGTTTTTCATGCTCCGTAATGACAGGCCAATGAAACCAGATACTCGGGCCTTCTGTTGGCACTTGGTTAGTGATGTGGCCGCTCGGCATCGAATCGATCATTAGCATAATACTGAATCAACAGGTCAATCACTCGTGGAGGGCGAGTCTTGTCTCATATTAATGTTTTCTAGACCCGACCGTACACAATGTTAACTTCTGATGATGTACTAAAGGATTTGCATGGGCTACTTTCATAAAATGAAGTACCCCCCCCCCCCCCACACACACCCTCTCCTCGAGCACGGTTCGCATAGTGACACCGATTCATCTAATCTCCTTCCATTCCCTAAGCTGCAGCAATGAAAAGTGCATTAGCATTCTGCCACGGCGTGTATATCTAAGTGGCTTAAAAAAGTGATTTGAAGTTGATTTGTATATAAAAGGCCCCCCTTTATCCGGATTGGAGCTCTAATCTGCTCGGAGTCGCATGACTGCTCCAGGAAACTCGTTTGAGCACCTTCAGATAAGGCTGGAGTATAAACGTAGGATGGCTATCATTAAATCCTTTTTTTTTACAAAAGCCCACTTCCTTTAACTGTCATCTGAACGAGAGAAAGAGAGGGAGGGGAGGGGGGGGGGGATTTAAAACTATACAGCCGCTATAATGTGAACATGCAAATTAGTAGATACATGTCACATAATGAAACATTTCCCCAAGAACCAACATGGACAAGTGGAGCCCTTGACGGCTTCCCTTAGTCCGGGGCTGGATGGAGATGCCGCGCAGTGGCTCGAGCTCTGATGAGCTTCATGTGCGTCGAGGGAGGTCCGCAGGCCAGATGTTTAGAACGTCTTTTTATTCTTACTGGTCCGCTTCTTTTTTTCTGATTCATCATTTATTAATCAGAGTGTATTTCTTCGATCGATCGAAAAAATGTAATAAAGCAGCCCAGCAATAATATGACAACTAAGAGCTGCAAGTTTCGTTATAAAGGTCAATAAAGACCAAGGGAGGTAGTTTTGTTCATTGAGAGTAATATGAAACACTATGATATACCCTCGTGAAACATTTTTGAATAAAACGTCACTATTGATTCAATGGGTTGTAATTTCAAACAACCATTCAATTGTGATTTTTCTTAAAAGAAGATCCGAGCAGAAATATGACTACACATTTTGAGAGCACACTGGGAGAAAAGAGGAGGAGATGCGGTTAGGGAGTAGGCTAATCCCACCAGCGGGTAAGAAAAGGCAGTTTTAGATGGCTCATATTCCACTCAAACTGTACTGCACCGCGACACCAGCTTCCAGCAGCGACGGAGCACCGAACCGGGCGCAGCCGCAGCATCTGTACCAACACATCACCGCTTCAGAGGAACTTCTCCTTTCTGCAAGACTAGATGTGGAAGGAAGCCCACCGCCAGTGAGGAAATATTCTCAGCCGCACCACATTTACGGGGAATCGATTCTGTGTCGACCGTGAGATTCCACAAGTAATGCGCGCAACTTTGTGGATTGCCCTTTTTTTCTATTCCTTTCTCATTTCTGCCCAGTTGTGTTTCCTTATTCATGGTGCGCTCTGTGAACAGCATTAACTATCCCTCCCTCCAATCCTTTTGAAAAGGCTCCGACAAAAAAAACAACACAGGGAGATGAGAGCAGCAAATCCCTTTTTTATTCCCCTCGTAGCGCTCAATAAGAGAAGAATGTGTTGCCTATCAGTCACCGAGGGGATCAAGTCTTCGGGACTGTCCCACGCGTTCAATGCGCCGCGCAGAGCATCACTGAGAGAGACAGAGTGAAGAGAAGCGCAGCAGCAGCAGCATCCTGTCTGGACACTTCACATCATTCAGCAACCTGTCTTCACTTAAGATCCATTTAAGTCAATTAAGGGCAGCCTGCTCCCTTCACCTTTCAAGTCCTCTCACCGGACTGCGGCGTGGTGAGTATGCATGCACCTTGCAGCGAGTTGATCATAATTCAATAGAACACAATCATTTCAATATATTGCATACAGATGTTATCACTGCCAGAACTTCTGTGTTATTTTTTCTCGCTTTTAGGATAGCGGGTTTATTATAGTTCAATTTTTTTTCTTCTCAAATATGAGTATTTATGTTCAGGTTGTTCAGAACACTTAAATATATATATTTTTAACACTGGGCTATAACTTTGACTGTAACAGCCCTTTGGCATTCCCCTGCTCATCATTGCCGTGCAGGAACGATGCGGAGCCTGGCGCTGCTGTTGGGGGTGAAGGCTGCCTGCATCCTGCTGGTGTCGTCGCTCTCGGGCACGGGGGCCGTCAACAACAGCGGCCGGTGGTGGTGCGTTCACTAATATTATACAGCTATACATATCTTAGCATTCTAAACTTTATATCGGTTTCAGACCTGTTTTATTCCATGCTGCATGTTCGAAGTAAGTTTTTTTTTAGCACCGTTAATAACGTCTGTTCAGAAACGGAAACCGCACAATGTAAAAGCTAGTTGGAAATTTTTTTCTTGAAACTTATTGGTTGAGTGGAATTAGCTACTATATATTTAACAATGAAATAATTATATTTGGCCTGAGAGGTTCACCTTATGTTTGCGGTAGTTAAAGATATACTCTCTGTTCCGCGGCTCCCTGTCATTTGGACAGTGCGGTTTGGACACGAGACAACATTTCTCAATCCAAAGTGGGATATGCGGATTTATTTATTGCCTGAAAAGTGAGCGCAGTTCCTCTCCTTCGAAAACTGTCGGCTATATCACACATTTTGTAACAATATATGAGTACAGATGTGCATGGTTTATCGTCTTGCTTTTGTTTAGAATCTAGAAACGGTGGGCTGTTCTGTGGTGAATTATTAACGATTTTTTGTCGTTATTTTAGTGGCTTTAGGTGCACAGTGCCGTATTTGCGCACAACGTCAGGTGTTTTCAAAACTTTAAAATGTCGGCTGAAATCCAAGAAAACATCTGGGAGAGGGAAAAAAATACACCGCGGAATAGACGGAATGAACAAAACCAAAAAAAAACCCGAATTATTATTGTCGATCCGAGTTCTGGGTCGGCCCTAATAGGCCAAGACTCGCCCGATATCAGGCTACCTTATGAGAATCAGAAACATGTTGACTGAAAAATCTAACAGACCTTAGAAATATCTTTAAAATCTGAAACACATAACAGGAGAACATTTACATAATACATATTGTTATTACGAGTTAGAGCTCACTGTCTCATCATTATCCTGAAACAGTCCCTCATGACACATTTACATAATGGAAAACAGTGGTTACCTTCTTTTAATCACTCATGAGATGCCAAGACACATCAGTTTGAGGGGTGAGAGGGTCACAGTAGCTACAAGCAATAACTGCCAGCTCCTTGACTCTGATTGGCTTTGTCCTTTTGTTGTGACAGGGGTATTGTCAACGTGGCCTCCTCATCCAACCTCCTCACCAATTCCAAGAACGTGCAGTTGGTCCTGGACCCGAGCCTGGCCCTGCTGAGTCGTCGCCAGCGCCGGCTGATTCGGCAGAACCCTGGCATCTTGCACGCCATCGCCGCTGGGTTGCACACTGCCATAAAGGAGTGCAAGTGGCAGTTCCGCAACCGCCGCTGGAATTGCCCGACCACCCACAGCCCAGCAGTTTTTGGGAAAATTGTCAATCGTGGTGAGCCTCGCTTGTCTTTGCAACCAGGCCTTATTTAGACAATTTTGCCAAAGATGTAGCGGCAGTTAACAGGCTTAACTTAACTAAAAATAGCCGAAGCCAAGTTAAAAAGGCCGGCGTTGGTTCTGATGTTAAGTTTTGATGTTTGTTTCTTCAGGTTGCAGAGAGACTGCCTTTGTATTTGCCATTGCCAGCGCAGGGGTGACCCACGCCGTGGCTCGCTCCTGCTCGGAAGGGGCCATTGAGTCGTGCACGTGCGATTACCGCCGCAGAGGACCCGGAGGACCAGACTGGCATTGGGGGGGCTGCAGTGACAACGTAGACTTTGGAAGGGTGTTCAGCCGGGAGTTTGTGGACTCCAGCGAGAGGGGCAGAGATCTGCGCTACCTCACTAACATACACAATAATGAGGCTGGCAGAATGGTAAGGATTTGATGTTCGAACAAGCCTCGATTGCTTGTTTTTGTAATAAGTGTTTCCGTCAGTATAACTTCCGGTCTCCCTGTTTGCAGACTGTGGCATCAGAGATGCGTCAGGAGTGCAAGTGCCATGGCATGTCAGGCTCCTGCACCGTGCGCACCTGTTGGATGCGCCTGCCTAGCTTCCGCACGGTGGGAGACTTCCTCAAGGACCGGTTTGACGGTGCGTCCAGAGTTGTTTATGCCAACAAGGGAAGCAACCGCGCCTCCCACCGAGCCGACCCCCGGCACTTGGAGCCTGAAAACCCGGCTCACAAGCCGCCCTCTGCCAAGGACCTGGTCTATTTTGAGAAATCACCAAACTTCTGTTCCTACAATGGCAAAACTGGCACTTTGGGAACTTCTGGGAGAACATGCAACAGCTCCTCTCCAGGCCTGGACGGATGTGAGCTGCTCTGCTGTGGACGTGGGTTCAAGACCCGGACTGAGAGTGTGACTGAACGTTGCAACTGCACGTTCCACTGGTGCTGTCACGTCAGCTGCTTGAACTGCACCAGCACGCGGACGTCACACCAGTGCCTATGATGACAGGTGGACACCAATGGAATATCGATGCATGTTTGATTGGCTGAGAAAGCTGCTAGAACACAGGTGGCTTGAGATGTTAGAAGCTAGAAAAGCTTCATGGCGGGTAAACTGATACAGGGAATTCTCAAGATGAAAGAAAAGAAAAAGTGGTGTGGGAGAAGGAGAAGGAGAAGGAGAAAAGCACACATTTATGAACAACAGGGTATGCAGGAAGTATTTGTGCAACTTTCCTTTGATGCTTAACAGCATTCAAAGGGTATTGAAACACGCCAGTCATCAATATTGAGTGGAAATCATCTATATCCCTCAAGTGTTTACACATAGCAGTAGAAGTAAGGGGAGGAAATGATATGGTGATGAATCAATTGGTGTAACCAGGTACTACTAGAGCATTCTTCTCCCCCACTGAGGGCAGAGACTGAGCAGTGTTTCACAGATGTTTCCGTGGCCAGAGAGTCACAAACAAGGGCTCCCATAAACAAGAGGGGAAGTTTTTGTTTTGTAAATCGTTTTCTTCTGCTGAAGGTTGGATTCTCTCACATGAAGCTGTTTGACGTTTATTTACAGGGATGAGCTGTCTTTTCCCAACTTGTACAGTCCAACAATAATTTCATCACACTACTTACCCGTTTTATTTAAGTTCAATTGGAGCTGGATACACCTCAACCCCTGATTTGCCACTATGATTTACCACAGGAGGGTCCTGATGTTACATGACGGGGCGGATGCTCACTAAGGAAAGTAGAAACTTACCAAGCAAATCTGACTGAGGAAATGTCATTTGAATGTATTATCAGCACACCGAATATATAACTGCATGACCAGATCTGGGGGTCAATTTCAAAGAAAAAAATGAAATGTAACCTGCAGAATCTCGCCATGCTCTCAAAATGAAAACTAAAGCCATTCTGAGAAGACAAGTAAAAAAACGCAAAATACATGTTAACTTGTGAATACACAAGTGTTGCATTAAAGTGGTCCAGCTTTAAAGTAGGCATTAATGCGTATAAGCAGATCAACTATTTCTTTGAACAAAACAGCCTCTGCTATCAGAGATAATTCTCTACATTAGCTATCAGAACCAAAATAATGTAAATATTAAAGTATATGAATATATTTAAAATGACGTAATTTGTACGTTTTTGGGATGATTCATTAGTTTCAAATCAGGAGATGTTTTAGAGATTATGCCTTTTTTCTATTTTGCTGTAATATAGCTCACACTCACACAAAACTGAGTTAATAGTAACAAAACATTATAACGTCTTTGCTTGTTTCCTGTTAAAACACTTGTGTTCATGCACTGAATATTTACCTTTTGTATTAGTGTAAATATAACATATTTATTTTGAAGGATTTTTATACTGTTATAGTGAAATGTATGAAGACTTTTTTTTTAGATTTTAATCAAAAGATTTAGGCTCCTGTTGGTTTTGTATTGTATGATAGAACAATAAAGTCTATATTTTCAATTAAGTTGCCCTCCTGAATGTGTCAAAAGATGCCATTATGTCTGTTGTAGTCTGTGTTTGAGATAGTTCTGACAACCAACCAAGTGAACATATAAGCCTGTCCCTGGGTGTCCTTTGCTTAATCCTATTACCACCACCAAAGCAGCCTCTTTCTCTGGCTCACAAAACATCCCTGCATCTGTGCTCCCAACCACAAGAGATGGCCCCTGCGTGTCCCGCCACATACCTTATTTCATACAGTAATGGATTTTACTGCATTTAATGTTTTGCTTTATTTGCTTAACGTTGGAATGAAATAGAAAAACGTACTGAAAAATAATGAAATACCTAAAGTCCCCCCAGCCACTGGCTACCCGAAAACCACGACCCAAACCACTGACTAACAGGAGTTTGGAAAGCTTAACACTTTCTGCTTGGCCCACCACAACACGGCCGTAGAGCACAACGAGGACACAACACACACCCAAAGGTCCAAAGGTCCCAGTAACAGAGCTGCAAAGTTGTAAATTTAAAAAGGTTGACTTAGTACGACCGGGACGAGAAACTTTCCAAACTACAGTCTATTTTATTGGAGAAAAACGAGACTAAGTTCCACATCTCAAGAAAGCAGAAAGTTTAAATCTGTATGGGGATTAAGAAGATATAAAAGATAAATAAACAGGAAACTGAATCAAAATACTGCAAATGATGAGGTTACCTAAGGATGGACTACTAAAGCAGAAAGATGAGAACTTGAAATGTTTATTAATCCAAGCGTAACCCACCCTGCATAACAGGTAAATTATGTGGATTAAAGCAGAGTGTGACGAATGGATGAAAAAGTCAGGAGAAAGCAAAAACTCAGAAATGTGAAAACGGATCAAATCCGGGTTTAAGAGAGAATTGATGGGCGACAATGGACAAACAGAGAGAAACAAAAGAAAGAGAAAGCGGCAGACAGGTTAAAGAAAAGGAGAGGGAAGGCAGAGTTCAAATCCCAGGCGTGAGAGTGAGGTGGGAGAGTTGGTGGAGAGAGAGAGTGGATGGGGGTTCTGCCTGTGGGAGTGCTGAGGAGTCAGTGATAATTAGCTCAATTAGTGACAAAGGCAGTGTAATAAATACCGACTTAGTGTCTGGGTCCCTGCTGGCCTCTCCCTGCGCAGCCTGCAATGTGGCTCTGGCCTGACGGACAATTCATTAAACTGACAAAATACCCCACCGTCCAGGCGTGACGCAGCGAGTTAGCCCCCTACAGGCCCAGCTCATTGTTCTAATTGTCTGGGCTGGAGTCACTTTGTGGCCGCCTCCTCCTCCACCCACCCCGCCTTCACACTCTGCCTTCACAAAACCCATGGAGTTAATGCCCCTACCTTGCCCAGTAAGTAGGTGATCGGCAGGTTGAGAGAAAAAAAAGCAGTAAGAGTTCCTCGGGGTGGGGCGGCCGGTGTGGGGGGGGGGGGGGGGGGGTGCAGTGGGATTAGCGGACGGAGGTTGCCTGGGAGTGCTGGGAGCAGCACCGATCGGAATGCAGGAGAGATGAGTCCAGAAGCTCGGATGCGGGACAAAGCGAGAGTTAATAAGGAAAGATTGAAGGGGCTGGCGACAATGGGCCGCCACCCGAGTCGAGATGAAATTGCTTCCGAGGATTATTGGGAGAGGGTGTGAGCGTTGTAGGCTTTTTGTGTGAGTGTGTGTTTGGTTGGGCATTTTGTGTGCTCAGGGGCAGGGGGAGTGGTGGATTGATGGCTGCCCCTCTGGTTGGGGAGCAGGGGACCAGGGGAGGCTAACCGGCTGTTCCCACAGTCTGTTCTGCTGCAGCCACCTTTGACACAAGGGGCTGCCAGGCGGCGAGCAGGCAGCCATGGTGAGAGGGGCACAAACAAAAACAACAGCTCAACAACACAAAAGTCGCTGTCTCTGGAAGGCTGGTGGAGAGGCGCAGACTGGAGGTGAAGGGGTGAGAAGGGTAGAAAAGGGGAAGGAGAGCAGTGAAGTGTGATGGGGAGGATAAAAATGACACACAAGCCAGTCGGCCAATATCTTAAAATGACAATACAATGACATCAAGTCAATTTCGTCTTGGGATAAATCTTTTTTTCCCCATTTTGTGAACAAAAAGCTGTTTTCATATCGGACTCTTAACTCCAGGAGCGACGTAGGGCTACAAGGTTAAGTAACTTGATGCTAGGAAATGCAGCTTGACTCCTCGCATACAGTGTTCATGATTGAAGCTTGACAAAGAAAATAAAGTTTTCCCTTCATTGCGCTCCTTACAATAAACAGGTCAACCCCCACAGAACATAAAGAGAAGACGATACGGCGTAATGGCACAGCAGCTTCGCATTAAAATTCCTGCTAAATTGTGGAAAAATGTTTGCCCGTTGGGTGGAGCGGGCTTTAATACGAAGGGCGTATGATAAGGAATTTAGATTTGGGTTTGGATCATCGGCACTGAATGATGGGCTGCTCATTGCGGTTGTAATGGACAATGAGGCATGGCCTGTTTTTGGCACTCAATTCCTGAATTGGATTTCCGTGCTGCCTCAACACTCCATTGTAATCCAACATTCTCCGGTGGCCAAGTTCCAATTAATTAAGGCATTGTTATGACGGGAACACCCTCATTTGTTTGGAGCCATAAAGTCACCACAGGGCTATTATGTCCCAAGTTATGCATTTACAGCCTCATCACACACATATCACTTAAAGAATTATAATCAGCTAAACACCCCCGAAAGTTACAGAAAACTACAGAGTGGATTAATAGCGGTCAGTACAGTGGGTCAAATCTACTGAAATGTAATTCAGGTTTCAAGGAAAGAATGAAAAGAGTGTCAGGATCTCCGATCCCCCCGAGAAGAGTCGGATTGTGCGAATGTGTTACGGTTTGTGTGCATACTCAAACCAGTGTGTGTGTGGGTGTGCGGATGGCAGCTGGGAGGCAGACACGGTCCAGGAGAATCATCCCCTAGCAACTGACCTTTTCGGCAGATGGCAGTTCCAGAGTAACAGCCACCCAGCATCACAATGGCCGTGGCCTCCTCACATCTCCATCACTTCATCATCCACTGGCCTGCCACAACCCGTCACACATGGGAGAGAGGGAAGTTTAAAACCCGTCCCAGCATGCCTACATTGACTCAAGCGTCCTCCTATTTTCTGTATCCTCTCGCTCCCACGTCCCAAACATTCCGCGCGTCGGTTTGGGTCCGCCCTTCGACTCTTCCCGTGATCCTTGGGGTAGGCAGCGGGCCAGTCGATGAAGGAGGACGGAGAGGAGGATGGATTTAGGAGGGACATCGCGGACACTGGTCGTCTGCGAACCCCGAGACGCTCTCAAACCGCCGTTTTCCATCGGGGTCGGTGGGTGTGAAGGGACCACTCGATCATGGCGAGCAATGCGTATGAAGGCGGCGAAGGTGGGGTGCGTTTGTGATATGCCAGCACTCACGTGTATAAAGATGTCGCGAACAGGCACGAGCGAATTGGCAGCGGGTGACAATAGATGTCGAGTTATCAACGCTCACCACAACGCTCTGCACATTCACACCATCCACTGCACGGCTGGTTGTCCCGGCCTGACGGCCCTTTCCTCTGTTGGCCCATTTTTTGTTCTTATTAAATACTTTCTAAACCTCAAGACTGCTAAGATAAACACCTCTTCACCGAGATGGATCACCTCTAAATACCTAAAAGTGGTCTTCAGTCTATTGCTGAACGGTCAGCTTTAAGTACCGTTTGACCGAAACATTGGAATGAAAAGGCAGTAGTTATCTAAAAAGAAAAAGGTTAAAATCCCCAATCACGCATCTGTGAATGGTTAACTCGCCGAGACCAGACGAAAGACAACAAACAGATAAAGTGACATGTCAAAGCGGTTCCACGGGAATTAAGTGTTTTAGGTGGAAAACTATGAGTCAGAGTGCGACTTTAGACCGCTGTATATTCTAGGTGAAATCATGTGCTGGCAAACACTGTTATTCCTCCGGTAAACAGAGCTGTAATGACAGGCGAAGACGCCGGGCAAAGGACAACCTACAGTAGAATGTGTTTACAGACATCTGACATGTATGGGTAGAGCATGGCAACGTTTCAGCTCTGGGATCCACATGAAATATACTGCGGTGGAGTCTACGTGACACAACACAAGCCGGCGCATCACTTCACCCGTCAGCGCGGGTGAAACATGCGCTCATTCAAAATAAAGCCAATGCGTGTCTGGCTTTATTGAATGTTGACACTCATTCATCCAAATGTATCTGAAACTGTCAAAATGAGTGTGGAGTGGTACGTTGCTGATTTACTCCCACAGATGTAAGATCATTTTTTGCTTAGTTAATTATAACCAACCAAATCAAGTTGGAATTACTGTTTGTGCACTTAAACAGTAAAGATGATCCTGATGTTTCACTATCGTTTGGCCCACGTTGACATCATTTGACCCCACCGTGCCGTTCGTGAGTCAATAAACCAAAAGGTCTTAAGGGGCCATTGCCTCTGATCCAGTAATACTGTTGGAAAGAAAAGGGATAAATGCTCAGCTTTTGGTTTTAATTACAAGCTGTATTTTACAGCGACAGTGGGCGAGGGCTCAGCACTGACACAGCACTAGAGGAATGTTTATTTGCTGCAGTTTGGGAGCCGAGAGGCCTGCAAGGAACTATGACACATTCCTGTGTCACTGCCCATCCGGCTCGCAGAGCATTCACACTGGCGCTGCTATGCGTGGGTTCACGGCTTCCCTTCTGACGCGCCCTGCGCACATCGGCAAGACGTGGCATCTTTGGAATCTGTAAGCAGGTCCGGACCATATGCTCTTTTTTGGCAACATAGTTTGACATGACTCACTTAGGCCCAATACTTCCCCCGTGTGTCCCAGCGAATGTGTAGCAGTACATCGGTGATTTTAAGAAGAATTATTTACACCTTACTTCAGCGCAATGGGGATGCCTGGCCACAAAGTGTGCGTGTGTGCGGTTTATTGATACTTGACTTGCAGTCTGCCGCACGCATCTCTCCGTCTTTCTGCAGTGCGATCAATTATCCCCAGCGTCTGGCAGCTGAAGCCTGCAAAGAAGACGTTTCTCTTGGCAACTGTTTCTCAAAGCCGGTGACACCGGGGACAGCTAACCACAGGAGCCGCACATCTTCCAACCTACATGAATACTGAGAACTGCTTCGCATAACAGAACCGCCCCAATCTCCCTCTCCCTCAAAACACACTCTCCGTGTAGCACTCACACACGATACTGCTCCCGCTCGCCCTGGTCTCTCCACAATATACTCACCCAAGCTTACAGAGCGGTCCTACGAACTGCGCCAGTTCCTTCTGGGCCCTAAATGGATATTATGAGAGTGTAATTAGTTGGGTGAGCTTGACTGAAGAGGTGCTGCGATTTGATGCAAAAATGTGTCTGATTTCATTTTCGTTTTGTTGACACAGGTAGTGTCCAAAGTGCAAGTTAAATTGTGCTGTAACTATCATCCTCTGAGATGCCACGACTATTAACAAATACTGAAAGGACACTGAACCCTCGCTGCCTTGCAGAGGAGATTACTGAATCTACTTTACTGAGATCACCTGAATCTGTTCTTTGTTGACACCCTGCTGGAACAACTTCTTTCTGTGATTGAAATGGCCCAATAAATAGAATTGATATCACGTGAATATTGTAGCCCAGGGTACAGCTGCAGTAAACAGCTTCTCAGAACTGCAAGCGTGTTGGGAGAGACATTTGTTTTCCTTGGCTGCTTGTCATCAACCTCTCTGGCATCTGGATCATCTGAAAGACAAATGGGTGCATTAGCTTGATAGAATGATTGTTCTGATTTGGAAGCAAATTTCCTCTGAAGATCTCTCGATTCACATTTTATTTTAAAGAGATGAATGAGTTGGTTTTGTGGAGAACTGTGGAGGGCGGGACAGATGCAAGGCAAGAGTTGCACACTGTGTTATCCACACATCGGTCCAGGTGTAACAGTGTGCTGGGCCGCAACGTGGGTTTGGATTTCTTTAAAGTTCCTACTGAAACTTCTGTATTTTTCCTTTGTATCTTTGAAGTACGTATAGTATCTGAGATTCCTCCCCAAGACTCCAGAGAAGGGATGATAATGATTGGAGATATTTGTACTGGTCTAATTATATATGAGGAAAAGGTACAAATATGGTTTTATATAAGTATAATAAAGTATAAAACAAATTGTGGTGAGTCGTAGTGTGTTTTACTACTGTGTAGCGGGACATTAGCATCACAGTGCTATGAGAAGAAGTCAGCATTAAGGGGGAAGTGCTGACTCGTAAATGATCCACTGCGGCCATCTAGTGGAGGAAACGAGGAATTACAAACGTGTCTGTTTGAAACTAAACAGGTTATTAGCCACGACCCCACTTACGTCCGGTACAGCAAGGCAAAGCAATGCAAGGCAAGGCCTTGACGTGGTCAAAGTCTTAAATCTTCAGGAAGTTTATTCCAGCTGTTTGTTGCGTATGAACTAAATGATGCTTTCCCATGATTTGTATTTACTCTGGGAATCACTAACAGATTGGTGTCAGAAGATCTTAGTGATCTTGAAGGCTTATGCAGTGGAAGCATATCAGTGATATACTTTGGCCCTAAACCATGTAGTGATTTATATGTGACCAGCGTGCGATGAACACACGAGCTACAAAGAAAGATAATTAACTCACTTTCAAGGCAGGAATAACGGGTTTTACGTTCGTTGACTCATCTGCCTGCGTGTTACCTCAAACCCTTCAGCGTCTTCTTCAGCTGATTTCAGGCCCCATGGTGGACGAGCGCGTCATGAGGGACCCCCCCCCCCCCCTTGTGTGACGTCACCGAGGGCCCGTCACTCAGCGGAAGATAGCTGAAGAGTGGAAGAGCTATGAATAAATATCTGACAGGGTCCAGTGTACCTGTATTCTCAGACTCACCTTTAGGTCTTCAATCGACAGTTATTTCCATTAAGAATCATCCCGCTATAATTAATTTGATTAGATAATGAATTTAATAGTGAAAGGGTTCATTCTCTCCCAGAGCTGATGGGGCAACAACAGAAACCCCAAATCCAAAATACATTCCATTCAGAATGATTTAAGAGAGAAGAGCAGCGCTGACTATAGGGGCTAAAACATGCAAATGAAAACAGATGAACGTGTCTGTGAGTGGGACATGTCTTCTGAAAGCTTTCTGTGGAATCAGGCAATTCTTTGTACTCAGCATATTCTCACCCTCTCAGAGTTGTCCATACCACAATTAAGCTCGTTACTCAAGCAAAGCCAATGTACTATTGACGTGAGCTGTTTTCTTCCTGTGTCGGTTGTACTTGCTATATTAAAGGACTTTTTAAGCCGCACCAATCACTTATTCCTATGTAGGAGCAGCCAGAACGGAATTTTCCGCTGCAGAGAAAAAGAAGGTCAAAAGCCACCTGAAGCAGACAAAACAAAAGTCAGACATATGGAGGTTAAAATGTCATGTGGATGTAACGCAGACAAAGTTTGGCCTCCTTTGTTCTTAGAATGAGAATAAATACTGCTTACTTATACCGTTAATGGCTTAACATTCCTTACATAAGGCCAGAAAATAAGATACATTACAGTGAGATTTATACAGTATATGTACGGCATATACATTCTAACTTTTCAAAATACAGTTCACAATATGACGCTTAGGTCATTTTACATTTCTTTTTATTGATGTGAAAATTTTAAAACAAGGAAAATGAAAGTCATAGTTGAACATTTCATGAAAAATTAAATGAGTTTAACGTTGTTTAAGGTGTTATATTGTTGAAATTATGAATGCACTTGAAATATTGGTTTGTAATAATGTCATATTTAACGTAAATCTATCTCTCATTAATGAAATACATATTACAAGAGGCTACATTCTAAAATCTGTCATGGACCGACGGATACTGCTGTATGGATTTAAGTTGTTTTTTGGATTTGTGGGTAGCACAGTTGAAGGAATAGTGTTGATTACTAAAAATGAATCAACCAAATATCCTGAGCAGCTTCAAAGCTTCTCACTCAACTCAACTTATTTTTCTTTGAGACTTTATATCTAATCTGCTGTTTTTTTTAATTATTCCATGGGGACACTGAGAAACCAAATGAGAAACTCTTTGTGTACTTTCATTTAAAATAAGCCCAAAAATGTGGATGCCATCATCAAACTAGAGAAAATCACTTTTACAATAAACTCAACTTTATTGACAGTAAAAAGTTTGGGGAAATATTAAGGGCCACGCATCTGTAACTGCAAGAACATCTTGGAAAGAAACAGGACTTGTTGAACTAATGAGGCAGTTGTACATCTTTAACTTTGAGGTAAAGTGTTTTGTCATGTTACATCATTCACAACATATCGTATAACATTTAAAAGTCTACACAAAGAGACAAGAACCCATGCCTCATTTTCACTTACTGAAATTACTTCACATTTCAAAAATAATTCACAATTCAGGGAAAAGCAGAAAATGACAAGCACACATGCTATATTCCATTCACACACATTTCTCTACTTATTAAACCAAGTGCATTTTAAGATAACTTTTTTCTCCAACAGTTTCAAGTATATTTTTGCCCGCAGTCAATCAAAATTAAGTTAAACTATGAAGCAGCAAACCCACAATAACAAGTAAGAATACTGAGTTTGGTCTCATTCATGTTCCCAATATTAACATTATCAGATAACTCACCATACTGTAGCAATAAGGTATTTGGGTGCTATAAAGAAGCAGGAGGTAACATTTCATGGACTTGAGGAATATGCTGGATAAGATTTGGAATATAGCTGATTAAATACACCAAGGCTGAAACAAACAACACTAAATAGATAATCACAAGTGAGAACTGAACTGATTGAAAAGGATTTGTTAATTCATTTTAAATAATTAATTTGTTAATTCACTTACATTACGCAAATTGTTGTTGAATTCTCAGCGTAAACTGCTGAATGCAAAACACGACAAAATAATTGTATTTATTGAACTGATATTCAATTCCCAGTCGCACACTGCAGCAAACTTCAGTGTGGATTCCAGAACCAGTGCAACGATCTCTGTTGAAGGCCGGCTCCGTTAAAGCATACACTGGCGTAGCAAATTAGATGATCAATAATTGTGAGTTTTATCTGATTCATCAGTGCAGTAAAACAATCACAGAAAGAAAAACTTGGTAAAGCCATCCAGTGTTTCGGCAAAGATGTTCATATATAAGCAGGGAACCTAAAAGTGCAATCCTGTGTAGGTGTAGCACCCTGGGCCATTTCTGTCAGGCTCTTGCTGTACACTGCAGGGCTCGTGGTCTGATCTGCACCAGCATGCTGAGGCTCACTTTATCACCCCCGAAAATCTATTTTACATCTGAGTACCAAAGACCCTGAACGTTTTCAAGTTAATCTCCCTCTCGCGACTCCACTTTGTCCTGATGTGCAGCTGCAAATATTCTCTCTTCTGAGGTGACTTCACATGCGCTGTAAACAATGTATTCCTACAGCAGCGCACTACTGTAGGAGTTAAGGCAATCCATTACTGTGCTTTGTCCGTGACAAAAGCCCCTCCTAAACCCAGAGGTACAAAGCTCTCAGTGCATATTAAGCATACCCGACACTCGACACAAAGTACCGACCTCAACCACAAAAACAAAGCTCTACTAAGCATAACCAATAGAATTCTTAAAATGTACATGACATGCTTACCATAACTGCCTGTGCACAACCTTTCAAAGGTGCTAGCTAAACCCCTTTGCAAAAGATGGCTAGTTTGATTTTTGAGCACCGTTCCCCGACAGTTTTGGTTACAGAGGAAATTCCCAAAGAAGGCACTTTGAAGCAAAACCAGCAGTTTTGCCAGATGATTTTAGATGGGAGTGCAATCAATCCTAGACTGCAATTTGCCTCCACTAAACTTTAAATGGTGCAGTGAAAATATCTTTCACCCACATCTGCTTTATTTTAATAAATGTTCTCACTGTAAAACCACAAATCCTTTTACTTACCCTAGGGATTCAAAGCAACTGATCTGGTGCAGAACAAACGCGAGCCTACGACTTCAGAGAGCAACAGTCGCCTCCACTCATCCGACACCACCCTCCCCTCTCCTCAGCCCACCTGATGCTCTCCGCGGCTGATGTGAGACGAGAACTCGTAGCGGTCCTGGCTGCGGTGGCCGCAGATGTTGCACTCGAAGGGTTGGCGGAAGCCGTGGCAGCCCATGTGGATGGTGAACATGACATGGTCCAGGAAGAGGACGCGACAGTGCCGACAGTGGAAGGAGCGCACGGGCCTGCCGTCCCTGTCCAGCACCTGCACAATTTCCATGGAGGACAGGGGAGCGACAGGGCTCCTCTTTGCTGTCGGGGGCGCAGGACACGCTCTCTCCCACTCTGGGTCCAAGTCTTTGGCCTGCCTGGGGCTGGAAGCGGGACGGCTGCGCGGCAGCGCTGGGGTTGGGTAGTGGAGGTGGTGGTTGTTGGAGGTAATCGTCGGGGCTGCGGCCCTTGTGCTCTGCTCCTCTGCTGCGCTCTCTGTGTCTGTAGAGTCGGGGCAGCCGTTGGGCGAGGTGATGTGCCTTCGGGCCGAGCGCCGGTCATCACGGCCGCCCCCAGCCTGCTGCCCTGCCGGGCCAAGGGACACTGCTGCCGGCCCACCGCCACCACGGGCTTGGGGGCCCGGAGGAGTCAAGTTGCTGTTGACAGAGGCCATGGCCGTGCGTAGCTCCGTCAGGAAGGCAGGATGGAGCTGAGACGGCGAAGGCGGCCCGTAGTTCTCCCTTTTACCCCTGCTGCCTTGGAGAAGTGGTCCGGCCGAGCCAGCAGAGTCCACAGCAGGCTGAGAGCTTGTGAGGTCCGCCTCCTTCTCAGAACCAGAGGACAATTCGTAAGGTGCTTCAGGTAGGTCACGGTGCATGTGCTTTTCACCTGTGGAAAGGGACATGAACGAAAAGCGATGATTAAGATGGAAGGTCTCCTGGATTCTTCGGCTCACTTTCTGCATTCATTGGGAGGTGTCTCTAAACTGTTCCAGCCAAGTTGACTCTTTACTGACGGCACCGCAGAACAGCTGATAATATTAGACAAAGATCAAATACTTATAAAAACATGGATTGTTTTATCAAACTCACCTAAAAACTTCTGTGGTGTGGACCTCTTGCGCTTGGTGATGCTGATAGCCAGTCTATCTGCGGACTGGATCTTTTCATTGGACAGCTGGAGTAAAGGTTTTGTAATTGTCTCCATATTTGCTGACTCTTCACCTGCAAACAACCCATTGTCATATATATATACTAACAAACTTGTGTATGAATGTGTTTAACTTGCTTTGTTCAATTCTATTTGCATCTATGATAATAAAGAAAGGTTTTTTGATATGTTACCATGCATGTTACCGGACTGCGCGGCTGTCTGGTGTTCTAGACTCTTCAAATAGCTGTGGCAGCGCTCCAGATGTTCCTCCAGTGTGCTCTGCTGTTTATAACTTCGACTGCAGTAGCTGCACTTGAAAGGTTTTCCCACTGTTGGAGAAGAACCTGCAATTCAGAGAAAAAATATAGAACTGAAAGATTGACTGAACCTCAGCCTCAACGGTTTGGATACTGTTGATCAAATGTAATCCGTTGAGAAATATTGTGTAGACAAGAATAGTGATGTTGCTTATTAAATGTTTTTGAGGGGAGGGTTCTTCTTTATAAAGAATAACGTATCATCGTGTAGGTTTGAGAGAATGGATTTCCCCATTTGTCTGCAATTCCTGAAATTGTTTCATACTGCTCGCCAATGACGACAGAACACGCCAATCCTCTTCACCGCAGCGCTTTCTTCTTAATAAGCCGACGGAAAGACTGACGTCGATTCACCGAAATCCTTTCTGTTTGCTAAATTATTTCTTCGAAAATGAACCTATGAGACCTGCGAGGATCCATCAAGACCGGCTGTACTGCACTGTGTGTCAACACCTGTTGAAAGCACCAACAGTTTCCTGTTTTCACAAACTGTTAAATGTCATATTTTGTCATGTGTTTTACAGTACATTCTGGTTCATCTATTTCCTCTGAGCTTCACAGAAGGGGGTAGTTCTAATGAGTCCCCACTTCTATCGCTTCTAACCGTTTGTTTAATACACGAGAGTTATAGAACCACTGCACTCTCCTGGTTCAAAAAACGGATACGGTTGTTTTGCACTTTAAGCTCCCGGTTTTACCTGCATGCGTGCGTAGATGTCCAGCCAGGGCATCTCTCCTCCGACAAGCGTAGTTGCAAACGGGACATTTGAAAGGCTTCTCTCCCGAATGCAACTTGATATGGCGCAATAAGTTCCCTTTCTGGGTGAAGGAAGCTCCACACTGGTTACACTGGAACGGCCTCTCACCTATGAGCACATAGGATAGGCAGAGGATGCTGAAGGTAATTCCTGCAAGTGTAGACTTCATTTAATGATATTTCGGGTGATATTCTGTTACTGCCCGCTTGTTCCCACCTGTGTGGCTGCGCTTGTGCACCATCAGCACGTTGGGGCCGATGCAGATCATGCCGCACACCTCACACTGGAGCTTCCCATTGGGTAGGCGCAGAGGTCCTGGGGAAGCAGAGTTTGGACTGGCCATCTCATTATAAGTGCTCCCCCCGTCTATTCCAATGCCAGCATACTCAGTGCTCCCTTCCTCCATGGGGTCGCCCATGTCGTCCCTCCGGCTGTCGTCGCTCACAGCCTCTCTGTTCTCTGGCTGTGGAGCGCCTGGTGATTCATCCCCGCTGCACAGCTCGACCTTGATGGAGTTTGCTGCGGAGAGAGAGAGAGGGGAGGGGGGGGGGGGAATAAATCACATTTTAAAGATAATGTTAATGAAGAATTCTGCAATATGTCCCAGGCCGCCACAATGAAACAAAGGAGAAATAACTGACCACTGTGGGAGCGGTGTGGCGTGGACTGCTGACTGTTTGGGGAACTTGCCGGAGGGCCCCGCAACCCGCTGTAGAAATCCTGTTCTGTGGATGACTCTCCTCCATTTCCTGAGAAAGAAATGTGCCCATGTTATGAAAGTAAGCATTCAAGTTTGGATACGCAAACATGTATATAGTTTCTCCCATATACTCTATATAAACGTACCTTGTGCATATGAGCATCCATTGCAGTCGTCAGCATTCATTCTCACCAGATGCCTACAGAAATACGATTAAAGAAGATGTTTGATGTAACTTGTTTTCTTTGGATCCAATTTTCCAAATCTTAAAATGCGAGTAATATCTTTGGTACCAACCACAGAAATCATCCTTACCAGCTGTTTGTTGTTACAAGAACAGGAAACAGAGGGGTTTTTTGTTTTCAGTTCCAACTGTCTAGTAATGAGTTCACTGAAAAAAACAAATCTAGTAAACTTTCTTCTCCTTCCATGAGATGCTCTGCCTTTATAGACAGCTAATGACTGTTGGAGGAGGGGTTTAAACTACTGGGGGTGGTCCAAGTAGCTGGAAGGCCTATAACTCTTATTCCATAAGAACATCCAAATTAAATATCAAGATAAAACTTTTTAAAAATGTAGCATTTCAGCAGCACAAGAAGAAAGCCAGAGAAGTACGGAGAAAAATAAAACAGATAAATATATGATAAACAGAATTTTATAAACGTTAGCGAGCCATTTATAGTACAATATATCTGACCCTAATCAGACTGCTTATGTAGGTACAAGCAAAGCCAAAAGTGTCGTTTTCTGATAATCTCTCAATGTGTGTGTGTGTGTGTGTGTGTGTGTGTGTGTGTGCGACACACACACATTGAGAGATTATTAGATACATACATACATTACACTGCGTATAGACATAAGGTATAGGGACTAGACATATAGAATTTGATTTCCAAACATAGAATATGTGGATTTTATGTGAGCAGACTTAAGGTGAGGCTCTATTTTATTTCATGTTGAGGAAAAAAAGGAGAGGGAGAGGGACAAAAATAGCCATATGTACAATGCTGCACCTTTTGCTCAAATGGATGGCAACAACAATGGACAGAGGAGACTACGGAGCGAGCAGGGGGCGGAGACAAGAGGCGCAGGGGAAATTATCATCGCGGCAGCGGCCGTGCGTGAGGAGCAACAGGCGCTGATGCAGCCAGGAGACGCGCCAGTCACACCAGGGCACGGCGAATAAATAAATACATGTTTTTATTTTTTTTAAGAAAAGAAAGGGGGCACGCACACACAGACCCTCGCCTGGAGACCCTCTCCGAATTGTGCAGTAAAACCACATTCCTAAATAACTACCACGCTTGTCCCCTGTATGCGCGGCCACTTGTTTTTCAGCTGCTCGGGGTGGATTTTTTTTTGGGGGGGGGTGCTGTCATGACACCCGTCAGCTGGCGGACGGTCGAGACGGCGAACGAGACACAACGGCAATTTATTGCATTGAGTTTGCCGGTCCAAATTGTCCGCAATGAACGCATTGATCCGACATTCGAGCGCGTCGGGCTGAGCAGGGCTGCACAGTGTTTCTCACCAGCCGTTGCTATGGCAGCCGACCACACGACAAATGGCATTCTCCCCACAGCACCAACTACTGAAAAACACGCCGCACTTCCACGTTAAAAACCGTCGGATGGGCTCACCAACGCACCGCGGTGAAGTCCGCGAGCCTCCTTCTTACCTGGCGACCGATCGGTGATTTCCTTTTTAATTGTCTGGATCGCTGTTTGTTTTCCCAGGCGACGGCAGCATCTCCGGGATTTTTCTTTTTTTTTTTTTTTTTTTTTTTTTTTTTTACCTGGGAATCCCAAACAACTTCCGGGCCCATGCTGGGATACAGACCGAATAACTGTACAACAGAGCTCTTGATTCAACGATTGTCGAATGCATCGATGCGTGGCGGCTCCCGGTACAGGTGGTAGAGAATGTGATGAAATGTATGCCATAAGAAATAACCAATAGACTATACAGGCTGCTGCGCATTGACATCTGTTTGAGGAAATACTACCTTTGACATGACAGGTATAGCGAGCTGTGACAGATTATTTTTGTGAATTCAGACACGTGTCTGTTTATGATCGAGGCAAGAATTTAGTATAGGCGGGTATTTTCACAACGTGTCTCTGTCACACACTTTATTGCACAATCATTACATTCTGTAATACTGTATATTATTTATGTGTTTGTGCTGAGAAGTAATAGAATATTTACTTTGTGTTGTCAGCTTAGCGTTTAAAAGCAAGCAAGCAAATAAAACATAAACAGAAATGTTGTGATCAAATAGTTGGGGGTTATAATACACCTGTAGCACCACAAGATGACAGCAAAATGCTCTCTGTGACCACCTCTGCCAAGTAACCGATGCTGCCCGAGCGCTCGATTTATTTTCCCTTGCACAACAAAAAACAAAAATAAAAATAAATCAGCGTGTCACTTTTCCTCCGCAGCTCAGGCCAGTCGGTGTTGAATTAAGGCGCTGCTATGTGGAGCGATGAGGTTTGTGCCGTTGTAGGAGGACCACGTACGCCTCGTGGATCTTCATGAACATGGCCTCAGCTTCCTTGCTGGGGTTGTGGTCTGGATGCCATGTCTTGGCCAGCCCTCTATAGGTGCGAGTTATGTCTTCGAGGGACGCCTCCGCGTCCAATGAAAGTACCTGCAACACAAATATGACATGAAAAGCAACGTGGAGATTAAGACAATGCAGGGTACATATGCTATCCCAATTTATCACTTATGTGGCCTTTACCAGTTTTGAGCTTGCTCACCTTCAGTGCCTCTTTCTCTTTCGCAGTGTACTCTTTGAGCAGTATTTCCAGCACCTTTCTCCAAGCGTCTTCATAGTAACCCCCTCCAGTAAGAACACACAACAGCCGATAGGGCATTAGAAGAATATACTCAAAGACGTTTTTGAGCCAAGGCAGGAACCAGAAAATATCCAGCAGTGCTGACACACAGTCAGACAGGTAGTACAGCGTGGCAGTGGTGTTATGGAAAATACAGTAGCCCAGTGGAGCGGAGAAGGCCAGCCACGCGAGACCAAGCCTGTAAAGCCGCGGACCTGAATAAAACACAGAAACGAATGAATTTCAGTGGGTCAGAGATTTAGAAAGAAGCATGCAGTGTTATCATGGTGTAAAAGAAAGTCTGTCACGGTGGTTTCCTGTGTGTGTGTGTGTGTGTGTGTGTGTGTGTGTGTGTGTGTGTGTGTGTGTCTGTGTGTGTGTGTGGGCACACAACAGTGCCTCTACCCCAGTATTCCACTCATTACCAGATTGTTGTTGTACCACAGCGGTCGATCTTGGCCACTCAGACATTGTGACTTGGCTGTTCATACCCTCTTCTGAGCATCCAGGATCATCTTCTCTGGTTCCCAAGGCTGCCTCCCTTACCAGCTATTTACCCAACCTGCCCCCTGTCAACCACCATTGGCCTTTTGCCCTCAGTCTCTGCTGCTCCATCTCAACCTCCTGTCATTGACATCAACCATTTTTTAAAACTTTTACCCTCTTTGTCTGCTTCTGTGTGTTTTTGGCCCAAACCTACAGACCACCAGAAATGTAGATGGTATCGTTATATTTGTGACATCATCTCACCTAGTTCCGGTGTGCTCCCATCTGTCCGTGGAATTTTGGCCCTGCGGTTCTGTGCAGCGGTGACACTGGCAGCCAGGCTTATAGGCAGAGGCGATAAGCTGCTGCCATAGAATATTGGCGAGGTTATGAGGCAAGCAGTCAACGTTTTTTGTAGATCCGAAGTCTGCTGGCCAATGGAGGAGACCAGATGCACGCCTGCACCCACACATAAAGGCAGGACGATCAAGTAGAAGAACCTCAGGGAGTTCAGTCCAATCAGAGCCACCGTGCCAAAGTAGATCCCAACACTCACCTGTCCAACAAAGCGGACAGGACCTATAGGTGGAGGCACCGTGGTTGGTGTCGTTCTCCTCTCCCTCTCTGCCTCTCGATTGGCCTCAACAACATATGCGGGAATACGTATGGCCTCTCTGACCCAGCCAAACCCAAATCCTCCCAGAGTTAGCATCCATAACAGAGCATGACTGTCTCGTCCTAAATATAAATGATGAAGGCCCACAGGCCCACCTACTGCCCACAGGGCATAGGCTACCATGACGCTTTTAACCATCGTTCTGCCTCTGTGGTCCCTGTTCAGGGGAACGTTAGTCCTCCCTCATGAGAACCTGCAATAAAGCAACACAAGAGTTTATTCTCGTCGTATCTTGTTCTTTTCATTTGATTTTTTTCCAAAACTATTTTACATCATGCTTTTGATCACATGACATGATTTAATCCCATGTGTTCCCTTCACAAGTCAGCATAACACTTTTCGGCATGTTGTCTCTGTGATATGTGAGCTGCTGCATTTTGGCAAAGGGGTTTTTAATCTCTGCGATCCACTTCCGTGGTTTGATAATATGTTATATAAGAGGGATTAATTTTTAGCTTGCAATAGTTCATTGTCATTTTTCAAACATGGCAGGTAGCAACTGATATTGTTACATGAGCTTTTATGGAAGAAAGCCGATCACACGTTGTACACGAAGTCAGAAATTGATATGGTGCTTCCTGACCTTTCTCTATAGGACATTTCATAGGTAATCCAACAGCTAAGGCAGACTGACTGTTGGCTGTATTTACTTTTCATGAATTTAAGAAGAACTTAAGAACCATAAGAACTTTTTGTTACTAATAAAAGGTTACTTACCGAGCCCATGATTTTAAATCCTTATCCAGATAAATCCTTTCCTTTCCCTTCCGTAGCTGGAGTTGTTGCAACATTTGGACTTTGGATCATGTCAATGAGATGACGCTACGGCTTCACCAACATTAGGTTCCTTTGAACGTTTGACTTGGCCCGATGCGGAAGGGACATTTGTGAGGATCGAGGTGCTTTAAAAAATGCCTCAAGTCTTCGGTAAATGTTCTAACGGAAAAGATAAAGATACACAAATTAAACACATGAAATTCCCATTAGCAATAACAATAACATGATATGTCATTAAGAATATCTTAAACGAATTCCTTTCAAGATTATGTTTACTCAAGGGTCAGGAGAAGCATTCAGGTAATTTAAGGTAAATGAAAGTAACAACGTATGAAAATATTACTTTAGGTGTAAAACTCAAAATGTTTTTTAAAGTACCTAAATATTATGATTAATGTGTAATTGTTTGTGCAGACAGTATAGCATGTGTCAGTGTTGATATAAAATGATGTTGCATTATTCTTACTGTTGAATACATTTATAAGCGTGTGCTGTTCTGTCATGTAATTCTCTCTTCAACTGCAGATCATAGTTTAAATGTCATTATAGTGTAACTAGCATATTAATGTAGGGGAAAAGCTCAAATAAATCCCCCATCTCAAATTTAGTGGAGTAAAGTAAGAGTACCTGTTGTTGTTGAATTATGTTTCCAACTGCTCTGTGCTTAAAATACTGTAATTAAGCAAGAAATGTTTTCACGTTTTAATGTATTCATTCCCCAGCAGGATACTATTGATGCAATGCAATACGTGTCTCCATCTCAAAGTACACAAAGTGTCGGAAATCTCTATAGTGTTAACTATGCTCACACCTTTGATTATTCCTGAACAATGGGATGATGACGCTAAAGTAGATTATTATTGGTGACTGACAGCTACCTGTACAGCGGCCCTCCGGGGTGTCCGCCCCCTTTCTCGTTGGCCCCGCCCCTTGACGACCCCCTCCTCGCCCGTCTTCTATCACAAAGCGAAGTCTAGCTAGCAGCAGGCTAACACCGCCGGGCTACAGAGCCGCACACCCGTGGCATTGCCAACAAGATGCACCACGTTTTAACTTTTTAAGCAGCGCTTCTGGACCGGAGGTAACTGGTATGGTGCCGGAGAATGGAAGCGGACGACGTGTCGGTTCGAGAGCAACTTTTCCACAACCGTGTGCGGGAAACCATAGTGAGTACCCGGGCCGTGCTAACGTGACCGCAGGGTCGAGATGCGTGAGAGGAGACGCCTCCGACCACACGACCTGCCCCCGAGAGCCACGTCGTTTCACGATGCGTTTGACCTAAACTCGGCGTTAATTGTTAACTCCAGACCCATTAAAATGTTTCAGCAATTAGCGAACTAATACGCGACAAAGAGTTTAGTTAATGTGTTTTGTGAGGGTTCCGCACGCTGACGCAGCTGGTCCCGATTGTAGCATCAAGTTTTTGGCTCATGAACATCTAGAAGAAGACTTGGCACCAAGAAGCGTTTTCCTTTTTTTGAGTTTTTAACGACTTTAACCCCTTGTCTAAATCTTTTTTTTACACCGTTTGGATCCTCCGTCTTCATTTGCCTTTTTAATGTGAGTGTCCGTGTGTTTTTGCCAGCGGCGGACTCTGTTTAGTGCGACACCGTGTTGAACTTCAGTCAGACTTGTCAGAAAGACCAATGTACTTTACAGCAAGGCACACGTATCCTGCCCTTTGACCCCCGAACGATTACCAGCACATCTCATAGGCGGTTCATTTTTATGATGTTGGCAATGTTGATCAGCTGATGTGCTGACAGTGTTGCACAAGGGACCAACAACTTATCCAATCTGTAGTTAACTATCAATTTGTCCTGTTTTCCTCCAACTCGCTGAGGAAAAGCTCAGTTTGTACTAGGATGATGTGCAGAATGTAGATTAAGCCAGTAAATTGTTCTACCTTTACAGGTTAATTGTGTAGTGTTAAAATACATCATCATTAGGGAGATTTGGTCATTATAATTGTGAATAAATACTGCAATAGAATAAATACAAATTGAAGTCAAAATACCTTATTCAAAGAGTACATGTCGTGGCAGCTAAATCCCAGGTGTAACTAAAGACATCAATAATGTGTGTAGGTGTCCTGGTTTCAGGCCTCTGACATTGTATTGGCCAGTTAATGGGACGGAGTCATCTTTGGTGCCACTAGTTACACGGTTTATTTTCCTGCAAAGCGAAAAATTCAAAATCAAATTGAGAGGTTTTTCAAACTGTCTCCGGAAGAACAAAACAATATTCATTGTTTTCTACCCACGGGATTTTTCCAAATGAACGTTTGTAGCGGTCGGTTGGCATGTCAGGTGTCTGATTTCGTCCTCGGGGCTTGACAAACTCTTGTGAAATAGGGCTCCTATTAGCAGACATATTTTCAATTGTTTTAGAATTAACTTCACTCCAATAAAGTGTCGATATGTATTTTTATGCCCTTGTTTTGACCTTGCCACTTTCACCTAAAGACCTAATGCTATTAGCCGATAGCACCTTCCTAAGCTACTGGCTGGCCTCCAGCTTAGCATCTCTGCTCCCTGCCCGGCTGGTCAGCCTCCGCTTCAGGGCTTAAGGGCTTCAGGCCAAGCTTATCGTTGGTCAAGAACACTGAGCGGTAGTATTTCACCTAGCAAAGCATCCCATTGAGGGACAGACAAGAGGGTTGTCTCATTAAATGTGTGAAGAACAGAATGCTTCAACTTTAAGTTTAAAAAAAACGGTCGAAAAGACTGTATAATTGTTTGCAAATGTTCTGTGTAAAATAGCAATCTGGCCTTTTAACAATTTGAGATTTTGCTGCACGTAAGATGCTTTTGTAAATGATCCGTTCCCTGCATCGTGAGCCGAGAACGATGATCACCAGACTAAAAAGCTACGATAAATAGAAAGGTACCACACCCAGCATCAAAATGCACAAGTCACAATGTTAAAAGCATAATGTAATCTTTAACAGACGTGGTCAAGTGTAATTAGGAAGTGTATTATCCGATACAGATGTATAGTACTTTAAACATCACTTTCAGTCGAGTTTTTAAGAAAATTCCTGGCAGAAATGTCGCATTTAAAAACAAAAACAAAAACTATTCTAGTCAATATCCTACCTGGAATTTCCTTTGTGGCTTCTCTGAAATCTTAAGCTCTAAAATGTGGCTTTACACATTCCAGTAACATGATGAGAACACTTGACACTTTCGGATCAGGGTGGCTTTTCCTGTGCAAATATTTAAAGTTATTTCTGGCTGATTAATAAATCTTGGCTTGGTCCGTCCTAATCTATCTTCTCACTTAAACAGATGTGTTTAGCTGGACAAGAGGCTGGGTGCCCGTGAAATAACACACCCGGGAATCCACTTGACATTTTGCGAGGACGTTCCGTGCCAATTCCAACCTGATTTTCACCTTTGATTATTTCAGAAACTACCAGATGAATGATGAGAAAACACTTGAGCGTCATTGTTTTCAGCTTGACTCGGCACTAAAGTTTAGGTTACTGTGTGAATCTTAAAAGGCTCTGAGGGAACTCTGAAGCCTGGAGCTTTGTGTTCAGCACGAAGATGTTCCTCTGCAAGCTGAATGCCATTTGAAACTCCCTGCTATGTGTTACCAGCTCCCTGCGTTGCCAATCGCACCAGTGTAATTCTACCCCTCTGACCCTTTCTCACCCAGAACACATCCTTTGTTTTTGTGCTTTTCCTTTAGTTGGATTAACCATAGAAATTACACTGCTTAATTGAACAATTCTGCAGACTGAGCTGATTAGTTGTTATGCACAGTCCATTGTCGGAACATTGTGATTCTCAACAGGTGAAAGTTTGATGTTGGTTTGAAATAGAGTTGTTTTCTAGTCCTAATGCAGAAAGGTTTTGTTTCCATTCTAAAGTGGGTCAACATCTTGCGCTTTCTGTAGCCGCACAGGAGGAGGGGCGTGTGTGTCCCCGTACCCCAACGCCATTTGTTATCGTAGCCTACCATATGTCCCAATTATTCATTTTAAGATACCCCTTTGTTATGGGTTTAGAATAATATAAACCTTGAACTAGATGCGCCGTGTTTCCCCATAAATAGTTTTGATGGGGCCCTCTTACTCCTCTGGCACTTTTAATTGCTCATAGTAAATGTATTGTACCGTTGCAACATTCAAGCACCGAGGAATTTAAAGGCTCAGGTTTTTCTTTTCTTCCTTCCAGGGAACTTGCTATGCTTGTATTCACATTTGTTTAAGGTCTGTTGGGATATTGTCGACATTTGTCGTTCAGAGAGCCTCTCTTTGTTTTCTGCTCTTCTTCTACATCCTGCTGACCTCACTGTGCTCCCACTGGGCTGCTGTATGGAACTGTTTTGTGATCTGGAAACATCCCTTCGTTCATCCGTCAGTCCAACTCTGGTGAACGGCGTCTTCAGTGTTGGTAGAGCCGAGGCTGAGCGCTGTAGTTGGATCGCTAATGCTAACATAGCATTCTAGCAGCCAAGCCAGCCCTCTTGAAGACGTATCCCGGATGTTTGCTGTGGAGAGGGTAAACCGTTTTGACAATGAGACAAAGTCATCGTCCAGTGTGGCTGATGGTAGAACAGTCAAGTTGTATCTCTTGTTTTTATTCATGGCAAAAAAAAACGTTTCCTTGCTTTGAAATGATAAGTACAGACTTGCGGAGCCGCACGCATGATCATAGACTTTAAGTACTTTGCTGTAATGTTAAAAATGTTGAAAATAACAAAAGGGATCATTAATTTCCACCGTGCCCAGCAACTGTCAGTTCAGTTCACCCGATAGCCAATGCCAGAGAGTGAATGCTCACTTTTCATTGGATACTCACTCTTGTCCCACAAGTTTTGCATCATGCACATATGTGTGACGATTGTGTTTGCTGTGACAACAGCTTTTCTTTTCTTTCTTTTTTTTCCCTGACAACAGGTTCACAGTGGAGAGATAATTGATTATTTATTTAGGTGCGTGTTTCTCAACAATGACTAATGCGTCATGAACTACAGGTACAGTTACACTATTGCTCTTACGTCCCTTCGTTTGTTACACAAACCGTTCTCTCGTGTTTGGTATGTTGGTCATACAAGCATTTTACTTCACTCTTTGGGGTGAACTGTTGAGAGCACAGATTGCTGAGTCAATGTAGGTTTAGCCTATATTTGGGGGTAGATTTAGTTAAATGTCAGACAACGGCCGTCCCTGGTAATAATCCTTTTTAATTTTACTACCCTTAATCCCCCCCGCCCCCCCGTAAATCACTGTCACCCGTTTCGCTCGGCGTTGGGATAGTGTTAATCTTCAGGTTCCATCTGTCTCTCTTAACCTTGGCAAAGTGGGGAATGTTTTTGGCACTTTGCATTTTCTTATTTTTAATATGTTTCTGCACAAAAGGGAACTTGTCAACATACCTGCAGCAGCAGAGTGCCCCCCCCCCCTTCCCTTTCTTCCTGTAAGATTTTGTTGTAACATCTTTGCTCTGTCCGCCCTCTTTCAAGACCTATTGGAATACACTTGATCCGAGCCATGAGCCAGCCTAAATAAATGTGTTCGGTAGTACTGGACGAAACACAGCAGCTTGTTTACAAGGCTGCTCTCTGTTTATGCGATTAGCCGTATAAACAAGTGTAATGAGTAAACAACACATTTGTTTCTTTCCTTTCTGTCTCCTACAGATCTGTGTGCTGCTGTTTACATGCCTCTACATGGTGTCCTACCTCATACTTACCCATTTCAAGAAGACTGCCGAGTTTGTCACAGGTGAGTCGCTTAAAGGCTGCTGTGGAGAATTGCTGGGAGAGGAATTGGTAGACGAGAATATTGATTACATTGGGGCTTGAGATTATTTTTCCACAAAGTGTATAGGCCACACTTTTTTTTAAAGAAAAGACACAAGTGGTTCAACATAATTTCATATTGAAAGCAGATGTGGCATAGTCGAGTCGTTCTGCTCCGCTGTGGCTGGATTGACGTGCTTCTTATTAACCCAAAGTTGTAACTGTTGTCAGAGCGTCAACAACAGTAGAACAGTTTTGCCCTGTAGCTAAAAGCACCTTGTGCAATACCTCTCTACGGAGTTGTTTTTGACTTTAGGGAGCCAAGAACTGGGTTTTGCTCCCTAGGCTATATCTTATAAATAGAAAACTATGTGCATGAGAAGAAAATACAGTATCCTGTAGTGTTGTGCGCTCAGCAAGACATTTACACCGTATGGATTTAGAGATATAAAGCATGTTGCCTGCTATTTGGCAGTTTGGGGGCTTTTAGAGAGGGTTTTAAAAACATGGTAGCAAGGATAACAGATGGATCCCTTTCATAGTCCTAAAAATGTCCTACATATTTAGTTCAGTTTGCAGAGTGCTGGCCTTGAACAGATTGTTCTGGACATGCTCGTCCCCCACTCACTCCTATGGAAGCCCATTTCCGCCACAAAAAAGAAGGGTTAGAAAGTTGAAATTATGACTTAAGATATGCGCATGCGCAGGTTCCTTCGTTGTCTGGTACGTTGACTTTCCAAACCCTCTTGGCGACTTCTTGTCAAAATCGACCAGCGGGCGTATCTGGTTTTATTGGAGACTTTTGTGGTGTCTGACGTGACCTATTGTATTGCAGTTACTGTCCTTAGCGAATGTCACAGAAACCTGGCGGCTCGCAGCAGTCCAGCTGCAGTCAGAGCAGAGAGGAGGCACACGTCACGTCCAGACTGAAATCAACGGCGCCGCTGATGCAGCGTCTTCCCTCATTGAGAAATTAGCATCACTGGTTCAATAGAGAGAGAACTCTCTTCAGAACTTTTCAATCGTCACTAATCACAATAACTACGGAATAAATACAAAGAAGTTTGATTTATTTTGGACTCGGAAATACCGAAGATAATTTAGATTCCGCTAAAAGTTGGACGTCCCTGTCCTCCCTGTTTGTTATGAGAGTGGAGTGAGTGGGTGCAAGCGTCCGTAGAACGTTTACAGTTCGGTAAAGTTGGCAAGATATTCACAGATTCGAACTTCCTGGTTTAATAGGTGGTCAGCGAGACGTTGTTAAACACAAACGACACCCCTGTGTGACCATAGTCACCAACAAGTCATAATTCTGACGTTTTATCTCATCATTTCGACTTTCTTACCCTTTTTTTTTTTTTTGTGGCGAAAATGGGCTTCCATACACTCCCCTCTCCATGCTCATTAACTATTGCTATTACACCTTTCCATTGTTTTCTTTTATTCATATATATATTTTTACATGCGCTGCCCAGACAGCTTTTACCTCTTATTGTAATAATATTGAAGCCTTTGTCAGTTACAAAGTTATAGCAAATTATCTGACTGAGTCTGGGGCAACTTACTTGTTTTGTAATTAAATCCTTTTTTCTTTTTTTTTATCTACTCTTTCAGAGGATATTGAGGATGCCACCGTCAACAAAATTGCGTAAGTTACAATCTCTAACAGATTTACAGCAATCTCTCACTCTCTCTCTACCTTTTATTAGTTACTTTGTGAATGATTGCGAGGATGCCTGTGTTTCAGCGTGACGGGTGCATTGGTATGAAGCGATTTGTGATTTATTGCCCTGTCCCGAGTTTGTTGGTATGAGGTTGATGGTTTGGGTGAGGTCCTCTCGTCCTCTTGTCCTTACACGTTGGCCCTGTGTTTCCTCAACCACTGTGGTGTGAGGCAGTGTGACTTTACGGATTTTGTTTATTTCCTTCTCCCAGGCTGTGGCTGTGTACGTTCACCCTGTCTGTCGCAGTGTGCGCTGTGCTCCTTCTCCCCATCTCCATCCTGTCCAACGAAGTGCTGCTCACCTTCCCGCAGAGCTACTACATGCAGTGGCTCAATGGATCCCTTATCCACGGTACATCTTAACGATTTATAAGTTAACAACCCGACTATTGATAATCGTGACCTAAACAGCAGCCGAATGCCTTACTTTCTAAAAACTGGGTCACTGGTAATAACCTCGCGATCGATGCACTGCAGGCCTGTGTCCAAACAGATAATTGCTATGAACAGAGTATCCGTGACCTTGCTGTGTGCAGTGCGTGTTACACCTGCATCCCAACTGCTGTCCTCATTTGAGCCCAACAATGTATTTTCTTCAATTGAGCAACTGGGATGTAAAATAAAAGGTGTGAAGCCCAAAACCTCTCCAGGCTGGTATTGTTGTTTCACGTGAGAATCATTGTGATTTTGATCTCCTCGGCTTTCGCATTGTTTTTCTGTTACTTTTTATGTGTTGTACGTTCTTGTTTATGAGCACATACGTGTGGGTGGGCAGGTTAGTCATGCTACTCTGCCTGTTAGGCGCTTTGCTGCGGTTTTTATCCCCAATGAATGTTTGTACTAAACACTTAACAACCTGAACATCTTTCTTTCTCTCGTCAGGATTGTGGAACCTAGTTTTCCTTTTTTCCAATTTGTCCCTGGTGTTCCTCATGCCCTTTGCCTACTTCTTTACGGAGTCTGAGGGATTCGCAGGATCCAGAAAGGTACCAGTTTTTGGCATTCTCTCCAAAATTTTGTTTAACAAAGAGTTGCCGGTGTATCACATTGAGCGTCTGTTTCATTTTTTTCACGCAGGGCGTTATGGCACGAGTGTACGAAGCCGTTGTGCTGCTGTTGCTGCTGGCTCTGCTCGTGCTGGGCATTGTTTGGGTTGCATCAGCCCTCCTCCATGACAACATAGCTAGGAAAAGCCTCTACGGTGAGTCATGTGCCTTTTACCTGACGACCCCTCGGAATTGCCTTTACAATTTTATATTCAACTGTTAAACTGTTGTCTATCCTCTTCTCTGAATTTAAGACCTGTGGGAGTATTACCTTCCTTATCTGTACTCGGGCATCTCTCTGTTTGGAGTGTTGCTGCTTTTGCGTAAGTGCACGTCATTCACAAGGACCTGAGCAGCTAAAAACTAAATCGCATATGACACTTGCCTCTCAACATCTGTGTGTTTCCCTCCAGTGTGCACTCCCTTTGGATTGTCCCGCATGTTCAGTGTGACTGGCAAGCTTTTGGTCAAACCGCGGGTGAGTCACGGTCCCAGTGACCACACTTTACGCTTCCCACAGTGTCCCTGGGCCTGTGATCGGAGTTGACTGTTGTCTCTTATCCCCCTTCAGCTGTTGGAAGACGTCGAAGATACTTTGAGCTGCACCTCATTTGAGGAAGATTCACTATGCAGGAAATTGAAAAGTGAGTGTGTCGCCCAGAACCCTTTTACATTTTCTGCTGATTACATTTAAGGCTGACTGACTATTATTCTATGATGTGTCGTTGTAGAGATTGAAGGTAGCAGCACGACGTCATGTTGGGTCAAGCTGAACATGGAGGCGATGCAAAAAGAGTACCGAACAGTCCAGAGGAAGCGCATCGCCCTGGGTAAGGTCGGCTAATCAGGCTGCTCCCCGCTTAGTTTCTCTCACAGTGGTTACATCCTTTAATTCCGTTCCTCTCCTCTTCCCTCATAGAAATGCGGGGGAAAGCGTCCCCATGGCAACGAAACTTGGGCTATCCGCTGGCCATGCTTGTGCTCCTCGCGCTGACTGTACGTGCTTATTTGTTCTCGCATAATTTTTGAACCCGGATGGTTGTCTTTAATTGCCTCATAATAACTGTTTGTGTCTGTTCAGGTGATGTGTGTCCTGATGGTCTGCTTTAATGTATTGGAGTTGCTCCTAGATGAGGCGGCGATGCCCAGAGGAATGGAGGTGAGGATTTGAACTAGGGAACATTTCCTGCTTGGTGTGACAGTCCTCCGTGTACACTGTGGATTGTTGTTTTGTTGTTAGGACCCTCACCTTGGAATGGCCTCCTTCTCCATGTTTGGCTCCCTGGGCGCGGCAGTGCAAGTAGTCCTCATCCTGTATCCTTGTTATGCCATTCACCTGTGAGTGTGCACACCGAGTTAACGTGTCCATTGGTCCTAGATAAGCGTTTTTTGTTCATGCTGTTGCATCAATATATCTACAGATCATTGGATGGAATCCACTGTTTGTCTCTGAGTATAGTAGTCTTCTAGTGTTGTCCTTAAACCTGTTGTCAGCTATCTGATGGTGTCCTCAGTGGTGGGTTTCTATAGTTCTCCTCTCTTTACTGGCCTCCTGCCACGCGCACAGGACACCAACCTTACACAGGTAAACAACAATCCTGACTCTCAAGGATAAATAACCAGAAACTAGAGTTTTCTGTGTTAACTCCACATGGTATATGAACCTTTCTTTTCTCTTCCTTTCAGATAATTGCAAACTGCGTTTCACTGCTTATTCTGAGCTCAGCGCTGCCGGTGTTTTCGCGCACACTTGGTAAGGAGGCGGTGTTATGGACGGATGCAAATTGTTATCAAAGACTGCAACAAGCTCCCAATAACATACTTCACACTGATTTTTATTTTATTTTTGTGTTCACAGTGGAATAGAATGCACAGTAATTAAACGTGCTACTTTGTATAGTAATATTCAAGATGATTTATATATTGACAATTTATATCTATAACATTCAAGTGATCACAAGCATTAAAGTGCACATTTAGTATGTTGGACTATATTGGCAGGCAGCACCATGGATTAGCAGGCTTGTAGTTTTAGTAATGCCCACAAGAGGGCATCTGAATGCCATTAATGCAGGTGAGGCCTGGCTTGAGCACTTCAGTAAAGACCTTCTCTTTTGCTTCCTCTGTTGTTAGGGATCACACGCTTCGATCTGCTGGGAGACTTTGGTCGGTATAACTGGCTGGGGAACTTCTACATCGTCTTCCTGTACAACATGCTGTTTGCTGGCCTCACCTCTGCCTCTCTGATCAAGACGGTGACCTGGGCCGTGCAGAGAGAGCTCATCCGTGCCTTTGGTTAGTCCAAACCTTTTGGTTTCATGAAGTAATGTGTATTTGGGATTGTATATTACTTCTGTTACACTTGGGCAGCCTTGTCAGGTGTTTTCCCACCTTTTTGGCCCCGTTTCCCTGTGGGTTGGTCTCTCTTCCTCAGATAGAAAGAACACAATTCTTTCAGGAAAGTGTAAAGGGACAAGACGAGAGTCGGGTCCCCTCGGGGACCTTAAGGCACCGCGCCCTGGACCCCTTGTAACAGTGGCACACACACACCCAACACAAACAAGCGCTCGGAGCATGGACCCGCCAAACGCGCGCACACACACCTACAGTCCCCTTCCTCACGGTGCAGATAGCATCTCAGCACAGCGGCAGCTCCCCTGCACTTTCCCATTCCCTCCCAACTCACTTTTGTTCTCTGAATCATCGACTTTCATTTTACCTACATCACTTATTTTTCTTAGCTTTGCCCCACCTTGTGATTGTGTGTGTGATGTAATTGTCCTTTTTTGTTTCTCTTTGTACGCAGGCCTCCACAGACTGCCTTTAACTGTGTCCCGCTCCACCGTCCCCTTCAGACTCCTCTTGGCCAGTGGACTGTCTAAAATCCAGTGAGATTTCCTCTTCGCCACTGCTTCTCCTAACCTTTCTAGAAATGTGCTTGTATTGGATTAAAGACATTTGCAATGAAGACTTTGCCAGTGGGGACACCAAGTAAGGGGACGTCCGTGTCCAGTGGGGGCTCTGCTCGAAGCTTTAATGAACAAGGTATCAGGGTCCAATTTTTGAGCCGCATTTTGACTGCAGGGACAAGTGTGCAAGCGGTTCGCTGATCCTCTCACACAACGTGACGCCTCACGAAAAGAGGATCCAGCGAATAGCCGTTGTTCAGTTGACACACGTGAAAGTGGGCACAGTTATTTTGAAATATTACTCTGCAACTGTGATGTAATTTCCTCTTCCTGCTCCAGGTTGATTGAGTGCACTCTCTTTCTGGGGCTTCCCCACACTTTATCCTCTTTTGGTTGTTCCCCTATTTTAAGATGGGGAATCTTACTTGTTTCTTGGTCCCGTGTGCACCAGTGCTATTTGGGATAATAAGAGGACATTTTTATTGGGAGCAAAGGGGACACAGAGAACCTTGTTGTTTTATGGATCTGCAGGTTACACAGGGAATATGGGAGTGAGGTAACCTCAGTGTTGGACCACTTTCAATAGTAGAATTCAGAACATTTTCGTTGGTGATTGACCGTTATGCAGGGTTTTTAAAGGCTTAGTCTTTTATAGATGACAGTAAGCTTACTGAGTCTGGGGATGACTCATTTACATAAATACACTAAAAAAGCTTTACACTTAAACCTGTGAAAACATTTGCCATTTGACACTCACTATGAGGAACTTCTGCCTTTTGACCAATCAAACTGTGAATTGTTAAAAATGTATGCGGAGAAAGTGCAATATTTTTATAAGTAAACACACTTTTTAAAATTACCAAAAGTCCATTTTAAATCTTCATGTTATTTTTTTTTTTTTTGTCTTCTGTGAAGTATTTTTCTCATCTCAATCATCTTAGAAACTTCGGCTAGTTTCAAGAAGCGAATGTAACCATCAGGCCGGGCAACTCTCCTGGTGTCCGTTTTTATATTTTGATAAAGCCTTTGTTTATGAGCTCTGATCATTTCCAGCGTGTTGGTGACTCTGTGTCATCGTTTTCCTTTGCTGCTGTATCAGCAGGTTATTCGCTGCTGGTTTGACCAGCAGGGGACAGTGTCTCTCAAAGCCAACACCAGCCTCTGTGTTGAGTCTCTCTCCCTCCCCCCCTTAATCATGATATGCATCATATTTAAGGTGCATTCAGAGGTTTACTTATTTCACTTTTTTTCTGTTGTTTTTTGGGAATGTGGAGTTTATGATGTACTGTATTCATGGGCATTTTGGGATCTATACTTCACATGTTTAACAGTCGTTAAACTGTTAAATGTGAGATATTCGAAGCAAAAAAAATCTTGATTTATTGTCAAAGATAAAAAAATAAGTGTTTTTGTTTACTTTTGAAATGCTTTGTTTTAAGATTTCCTGAATCATTTTTAACCATCATTGTTTTATGAGCAAAAAGCAATAAAAATGATCTTGTTTTTAACTCTGTGTACTTTTGGAAAAACATCAAGGTGACTTTTACTGTAAACCGTCTTTGAAGCTGTTACGTGTTGGTTACATTTTGTACAACTGTAACTGTTACTGATCCGATGGGTGGATGTGACTGCTGAGGGCATCTGTCCTCCATGTCCCTCCACCCTTTTGTTGCACTTCTTTAATCAGCAGCAGAAGAAAGACATATTTTGGCCTGTCTGTCAGCATTGTCTATCTGCGACGCCATTACAGCCTAAGCCCACGCTTTCCCCACTGCGATGCAACTGCCAGATAAAATCCTTTGCAAATCAGGAGGTGAAGCGACGTCTACTCACATTCACTCTTTCACGCCCCCGCCACCCACCGCCTTTCTTCCATTCCCGTTCCTTACCCATTGTTCATTTCCTTTTCTAATTTCTCTGAAGGCAGTTCAAGAAAACCCCGTCTGATTATTTTCCCTCTTGATTTTTGTTTGCATTTTTCTGTTTGTATTTTGTTGGATCTTTTAATTAAGCCTATTTGAATCTGGTTTTGTTTTGCGCTGTGTTTCCTTTGCTAAATGGAAAAGAACTTCAATGTCGCCGTAACATTACTTGCACAACGAGAATGCTTACCTTCTGAGGAAGCTACATTTAAACCCCATAGATGGGGTGTGAGCGTGTATATCTATATACAGTACAGTGCAAAATGTGTAGGCAGGTTTGAAGAGGAAAAAAATGTGTGTATACAATTTATTTTTCATCAATTAACAAAATGCAGTGAATGAACAGACGATATGCCAAAATATGTGGTGGGACCGGCCTTTTGCCATCAAAATTCTTCTAGGTGCTCTGCCAGACTTTTTGCAGTAACTCTGCTGCTTCCAATCATCCCACAAACGTGGATGTGCTTCCTTAAATCCTTCCCGCTCTTCATTCACTCCCAGACGGACTCGATGAGTTCAGGGCTCTTTGGGGTCTGTACCATCACTTCCCGGACGACTTGTTCTTCAGGCTGAAGATGGTTCTTAATGATATTGGCTCGATGTCTGCGGTATTTGTCCTGCTGCAGAATAAACCTGCTGCCAATCATGCTCCTCCCTGATGGTATTGCATAATGGATACGTTTCTGCCCGTACCATTAATTCTGATCAATATCCATTTAAAGAAACCGTCTGTTTCGCCGTCCTTCACCCAGTTTTAAGCCTCCAACACATCAGTCGACTATGTGATGTGCGCACGTAGGATGGCGCTGACAATTCTTTTTAGACCTGGAAGAAATGGTGAACAGGTTTTCAAGGTTTATTAGAGGACAACTGCAGAAAACTGGAATCAGCGTTTTCTCTAAGTTACATCATTTGTGTGCGTGCACAATGTAACAACCCTACATATCCCTTAACCTTGGAATTGGTTGGGTAAAATCGAGGATACCAACTCTCCCTGGAGCAAAATATAAAGTGTGATAGCAGTGCAATCAAAGTGTCCCAGCAGTCCCATTGGGTAACACTCTATTGGACTGGATGTCGGGTATATCGGTGGCAAGGCAGGAGACTGGCGGCTTGTGACGGGATGAGATATGCTATCTTTATTGTCAAAACATAAGAATGAAGGGGGGGGACAAAGATTAGCTTTCCTGACAGTCGGCCATTTGAAGTCTGTGCCAGAGTGCATTAAGGACTGTTATTCTCTCGTTTGTATGCTCGCGAATACCCAACCACTCACAGGAAAAGGCGAGACATGCCCGCTAATCAGCTGATAATGGGTCACACTGTCCGTATGCCATAGCTGACCGCCGTCCTGCGTGCACACTCCCGTCACACGTACTTCACACAGTTGACTGCTGCGGGTCTTTGTTTCATTGGATGAGTTTGGGTTAAAAATACACTGCATATGTCAATTCAAAAGAGTCTTTAAGCATATATGTTTATCTTTTTTGACCTTTCACCTGCTTGTCTGGGTCCAGGAAGTTCCACCCTTCTCACGCCATTGTCCACTTCTGTGCAGCATCGCCCCCAACTTCAACTCACCGGAGGGCTTTTCCAAAAGGCCACGCAAAGGCATAGCAACTTAAAACCTGGCCTTGTAAACCCGAGACGTCACATGACACACGCGGTTATGGGTGTGTCGTTAAAAGTAGAGCGTGGCGAGTAACTACGGTCACGAAGGTCACGACACATAAATCAGGAATCATCTCGTGTGCGCTGAGTGCACCACCCTGCCTCTTCCTGCCCTGATAACGTGGTGAGGGACAGTGGATCGGGCGGTGTCGCGGTGGGCCGAGAGAAAGGACGCACGCACACGTGTGTGGAGAAGGGAGGGAGGTGGTTAGGTGTGGGTTCCCTGATGCCGCCCGACCAGCCTTCTAACGGCCTCCATCCGAGGAAATGGATCCTACAGAGTGTCCCTTCTGCTCCAGAGACAAAACAAACACTTGAGATGTCAAAGCCAGCGTTGCTCCAAAAACACTGATGCCAGTTGTTAGATGACTGCCTCCTTCTAATAAACAAGACCTTCGCAGTCCCAATGATGTTTGGCTCTATTTGTCGATATCCTTTATTTGCTATTTTTAGGGCTCTGCTCGGTCAGCTTTACTCGACCACGAACAGGTGGTAACATCCGCGTCCATTTGGAGAGAACAAAGCGGGGTAGGCTAACCTAGGCAGGAAAGATCATGCTGTCTGCGCTGTGGCTTTGCAGGAAACCCAACCATTCACCCGGCGATGTACTCCCATCCTGAAATGGGGGAGTGAAATGCTAAGAGCCAGAAGGAGGCAGGGGGAGGACGGAGGATGGGGGTACCAAAATACAAGCTAATAAGAATGACTTTATTTCCATCTCCGAACTGCAGATGTTTGCTTCCTTCCTTTGCCTTTCATGTCAGATGGAAATCTCGCCTCCGCCGCGGCTTTGAAGAGAAACGTCTGTGTGGTTAATTGTGTATATGTGAAAGTGTTTGTAGCTTTGTTTTCGTTTCTTCGATCGAGTCATTCCCTGCATTTGTCATGAAGGCTGATATCTCTCATCTGTTCGGCCTGGGCCAGACTTGAGCCTTCTTCCATGTTTACCATAAGGACAGGAAGATGCTGCTTTGCCTTGCCACCCCTCCCTATAACATCCTGGGATCTTCTGGAAACGTACCAAAGAAGGATGCCTTTCCATGGTCACTGGTGCTCAGTGACATATGCTTCTTCATCACACAACAGCTAATTGTAAGTGCGGTTTTAGTTCAGGCACAGAATGGGAATTTCACCGAATGAAATGTTGAATATTGGAGTAATGATTTACCATTGAAGCATGTTTAGAGCGCAATCGCATCAAACCGAGATATGCAAGAGAATAGGCATGAAAACACCCAGACAGTGTACCTAGCAGCTCTGTTGTCACTGGGCCAAATATTCTTTAAAAAACAAAGCCACTGTCAAGAAACTGACCACAAATTATGAAGTCCTTAAGCGTTCCAGGAAGCTGCAGATAGGATGGGGACGCACTCCGACCTTTGGAATCCGCCGTTAATTTGAGCTTCCGTGTGTGATTACACATGTCAGAACCCGGAGACACAAGGATGCCTTTCTTTTCTGCCCCCTCTTTGGAAATGATCTGACATATTTTTTATGACTCCCAGCCATTGTTCTGAGATGGATAAAAATAATATGTTGATGTGGCCGGCGGGTGTTTCCAGTGGAGAGGTCTTGGGTGCAAAGGGGGGGTCAGGCTGGCTCCCCAAACACAGGAAGACCGCACTGTAAGTCTGAGTCAGGGGGCGTCAAGGCTGGACACGTGTGTTCCCTCATAGACCCTCACCTTCAACTGCGTCTATTAATAACATCAGCTGAACTGTCCGCTCCTGGTGGCCGGGATGAGCTGACGGGGGCTTGTTGTTATTCCAACTGACTTTTACTGTAAATACACCGCATCTTCTATGACGCATAATGCAGCCAGGTCTTTGGTGCGCTTTTGTTCAGTAGCACATACGGAAACGTCTCAAATGCTCTTAAACTAACCTTAAATAATTAGTGGTGTGGGGGTGGGCGAGGTGAGGGGGGGGGGGGGGGGAATCTGGGGCCCTTTGTTAAGCTTGAATTTGAAGATTTGACTGTCTCAAGCTATAACCTGACTGGAAAGGAAGCCGTACTCCTCTCGACTCTAAAAAAAACCAATGGCTGGTGCAAGGTGGCCAGGAGCTCCGAGACGCGCCCGAAGACGGTGGACGAAGGAGGGAAGGAGGAAGGAAATCTCAAGGGGCCGCATTTCTGGATGAGGGGCCAGGAGGATGACGGTTCCACGGAGGCGTCCATAGGAGGCACCGGGAGCCGCGGAGGGGGTTCCTTTTAGTGCGCGTCTCGTCTCGTCGAAGGATTCGCGGTAAGTGACGAGAACCTTGTGCCCCCCCCCTCCAAAAACCTGTGCCGGGGGATCAACGAAACCCATAGATGTAGAAATCGACCTAGTTTGTCATTTATTTGAATTGCCTGGTGTCATAGAAACTTTATATCATTCATTTGGTTCATCATAAAGAAAGTGCAAAACCAAGGTCAAAACAACTGATTTGAACCTATTTGTACTTTACTTATCACAAGGGAATATTCTTAATTTCTCTTTTTTTATTCCTCATCAGCTCTAATAACACCTGATTTGGAATGGACCCAGACTCGGCCTTCATTCACATGCTGCTCCACACCTGGATCTGGGGAACCACTGTAGGCACGGCGAGTCACTGACTCCTGGGAGCCCCAGCCCTCCCCAATGAAGCAGTCCCTGTGGGCCCGTCTGGCACAGGTCGGCCTGCTCGCCGTGTGGACCTGCGTGTGGTTGGTTCAGGGATGCGGACCGGGCCCCGGCTACGGCATCCGCTCCAGAACCAGGAGACTCACTGCCATGCACTACAAGCAGTTTTTCCCCAACTTCTCAGAAAACAACCTCGGGGCGAGCGGGAGAGCCGAGGGCAAGATCACGCGCAACTCCGAGCGCTTCAACGAACTGGTGTGCAACTACAACACCGACATTGTCTTCAAGGACGAGGAGAACACCAACG